AGCAAGGGAAAGTAACCCATTCCATTAGGAAAAACAAACATCTCAGGACCAAGGACAACATTGTTAATGCTGGTCCTGGTTTCCTTCAGGTGGTAAAGGGAGGCGGAGATTGGAGAAATGGAAAGTGGTTTAATTTATGGTCACATTAGAAGGGCAGCTGTTTAACTTCAATGCAGGGATGCCCATCCAGAAGACTGGGCCATAAATTTAAAGATGCAACAAATGGGGAAAGAGAAAGCTGTTAGATAAGGAATGTGAAGATCCCCCACTCAGTAGCAAATTAAGTAAGACAGCTGAGAACTAACCAATCACAAAGAGACTGGTGGAGCTTTAGAATAATGAGGGAAAAAAGGTATATATTCCCTGAGACACAACTCCACTTTGGCTTCCTTGCCCCTCCCAGGCCTGGTTTCCTGGCCTGGGAGTCCCACTTTATTTCTGTTCTTTTTCTCCTCAATAAACTTTTTCTTTTTCTAAACAAATGCCTGAGCGTCTGCGAAGTTCCTGCTGCGGCTTCATGAGACACCAACCCGTGGGGGGTCTAGCTGCTGGGGCTCAGCACTGCCCTGCAGCCTGGAATCCGTTCCTGGCTGGGAGACTAGGCCTGACAATTCCGGCATCACAATAAACATAGGGGTGCAGGTGTCCTTTTGGATTAATGTTTTTGGGTTCTTTGGATAGATACCTTGGAGTGGAATTGCTGGATCATATGGAAGCTCCATTTTGAGAAGATTGAGGAAGCTCCACACAGCTCTCCATAGTGGTTGCACCAGTTTGCACTCCCACCAGCAGTGCAGGAGAGTTCCTTTTTCTCCACATCCTCACCAACATTTGTTATTGCTTGTTTTTTTTTTAATATGTGTCATTCTCACTGGTGTAAGATGGTATCTCAATGTGGTTTTGATTTGCATTTCTCTGATTACAAGTGATGTTGAACATTTTTTCATATACCTCCTGGCCATTTTTATTTCTTCTTTGGAGAAGGTTCTTTTTAGCTTTTCTGCCCATTTTTTGACTAGGTTATTTACTTTGTTTTTGTTGAGTCTCTTCAGCTCTTTGTAGATTTTTGTGATCAGTCCCTTATCATTAGTATTGTATGCAAAATTTTTTTCCCAATCAGTGGGGTGTCTCTTTGTTTTGGTTAATGTCTCCTTTGCTGTACAGAAGCTCTTTAATTTGATGTAGTCCCAGCTGTTTAGCCTTTCATACTATCTTTGCTTTGGGTGATATGTCTTTAAAAATATTACTTAGGTGTATGTCATGTAGTGTTTCACCTATATTTTCTTCTGTGTATTTTGTGGCTTCAGTTCTTACGTCTAGTACTTTAATCCATTTTGAGTTGTTTTTTTCTGCGTGGTGTGAGGTAGTCGTCAAGCTTCATTCTTTTGCATGTAGCAGCCCAGTTTTCCCAGCACCATTTATTTATTTTTTTAAAGATTTATTTTATTGATGCATACAAGAACTGGGGTAGAGGCCAGAGGTGTAGGGGGGTGAGAGGATTCACCAGAGACAGAGTGGGGAACAGAACAGGCAGATCGACTGAAATACACTGTTGAGGGGAGCAGCGGGTCACTGCAGACCTCTCTTGACTTACCCGCTGCTCCCCTCAACAGTGTATTTCAGTCAATCCTGCTGTTCTGTTCCCCACTCTGTCTCTGGTGAATCCTCTCACCACCACCTCACACCTCTGGCCTGTACCCCAATTATTGTATGCATAAATAAATAAATCTTTAAAAAATAATAATAAATATCTGAAACTTGGGGGAGGAAGAAATTTTTAAAAACAGTCATCTTGGAAAAGAAGCAAAAGCATCTCTATTACAGTTGATGTGATCCATTATAGAAAAAATTCACAAGAAAGCTAGAGCTAATAAACTCAGGAAAATTGACAGATACCAAACAAACACTCAGCCCAGACAAGCTAGAGGTACTATCAGGGAGCCCCAACTCAGCCCCAACTCAGCCTAGGGTGGTCCCAGCAAACCACAGATAGGGGGGCAGGGGATCTGGGCATAGGCTAATCTGACTCCCACTTGTACTAATCAGTCTGATTAGTACAAGACACCTGTAACTCAGGCACGCCTGCTGCAGACTTTCAGGAGACAAGAGGGATGAATCAAATCCCTGGACACAGTCATCTTCTGGGGCAGGCCCAAAGAGAGGACAAGGACAGTAGAAATCACAAGAGGTCACCTGGTCTAGTGACCTCTCACATGAGCTCCACTTACAACATCTCCCAGGGCTGGGGAAGCTGAACCCTAGTCTCGAGATGTGTGCAATGTGAGTGAGGCTTCCTCCATTTCCAACTGGGGGAGGGAAACATCAGAGCTGTGACTGGGGACCCAGGCCAGGACTAGAAACCATGACAGAAGCTGGACCTGCCACCTACTGGAGTCTTTCCTCATCAGGGAACTTCTCCACTGACATTGGCAGGGAATAGGTGGAAAAGAGATGTTTTTTTTTTAATAATTTTTATACTCTTTATTTTATTTTATTTTATTTTAAGATTTATTTATTTATGCATACAAGAACTGGGGTACAGGCCAGAGGTGGAGTGTTTGAAGATTCACCAGAGACAGAGTGGGGAACAGAACAGGCAGACTGCCTGACTGAAATACACTGCTGCGCCATGTGGGTAGCTCCCTGGCCGGGGATGATTCTTTTCAACACCAGAATCTCCAATAAAGATAATCCCAAAACAATGCATCTCCCACCCACATGCAACAGGGAGCTGCATGAAATGGGACAGCCTTCTCAGGGGGCCCCCAGAGGAGGCAAAAGCCTGAACCCACACGCCCATATTCACAGCAGTACTGCTCACAATAGCCGACAGGTGGCGAGGACCCAAGTGTCCATGGATCCATCAATTGATGAAGAAAGGATAAGAGCAACTTGGTATTTACAGGTAGTGGAATATCATAAAACCTTAACAGGGAAGGAAATTGTGATACAACAAGGATGAGCCTTGAAAACATTATGCTAAATGAAATAAGTCAGATAAAAAGATAAATTCTGTATGACTCACTTAGATGAAGTGCCTTGAATAGACAAATTTATAGAGACAAAGTAGAACAGAGGCTACCAGCAGCTGGAAGGTAGGGAGTAGGGCCGGGGAGTTACTACTTAATGGGAACAGCTTCTGTTTGATTGTTGGAGAGGCAATGGCGATGGCTGTGAATTGTGAGTGTAGTTAATGCCACTGGATTGTACATCAAAGCATCATTAAAATGGTAAATTTTATCTTAAGTATATTTTGCCACAATTTTAATTTCTTTTTCAAACAAAAAATTTTTAAAGATTTATTTTATTTATTTATACAAGAACTGGGGTACAGGCCAGAGGCACGAGAGGGTGAGAGGATTCACCAGAGACAGAGTGGGGAACAGAACAGGCAGACTGACGAAATACACTGCTGAGGGGAGCAGCGGGCGAGACAGGAGAGGGCTGTTGCGCCATTTGGGACCCTCGCAGTCCGGCCGGGATTGAACCCGCGCTGCAGGTGCTGCAGAGGCTGTGGACAGCTTCAGAGCACGGCACTCAACTGCCTGTGCCACCAGGGGAGGCCATTTCAAACAAAAATTTTGGCTATCTTTTTAAAAAGGAAAAAGCCACCTGGGTCTAGCCTGGCCTCTGCCTCTGGCTCCATACTGGTCATTCTCCCCCTGCCCCTTGCAAGTGAGGGGGTTCCAAGAGTGGATCTCAGGGAGTCCTATGCAAAAGCAGCCCGCAGAAAAGAGCCATAGAAAAGAGCGGCTCTTCATATGGAAGGAGACCGGGAGCTATTCTGGGGAGGGGAAGGATACAACATGGCATGTACAGGGCTGTGCTTCCATTTGCATAAAAAAGGAAAGATTATATATATTCTTTGTATCTGCATAGTATATTTCTGGGAGAATATATAGACAATCCAGAAATCTGATGATGTAAGAGGCTCAGGGGGAAATTGAGTGGCTGAGGAGGGGGATGGAGTTTAGCAGGGAGAAACTCTTTAGCTACACCTATACCACTGAATTTTGCTCTTTGTGCAAATATTTATCAAATAAATGTAAATACATTTTATAACAAATTCATGGAACTTTTGGAAACACAGGGGCAGGGGCCCACCCTGATATTCTGATTACTGAGGTCCGAGTCACCAGATGTGTACGTGCCCAACAGCAACAAGATTTCCCAGCTCCCTGTGGAGTGTCCCTGAGCTTCGAGGGCTTTATCGCACTGCGCCCTCCCCAAGCTTTATTATCTAGGTTTGCACATGAGGAAACTGAAACTGACGCTCAGACTCTCTCTGCCCAGCCTGGCCCTCGCCCCCCTAACCCCCCAGGGGTGCACTCTGGGGGCCTCGCGGTCAGTCCTTCCTCCAGCCCAGCTCTGCGCAGACCTGAGCCCTTCCCCCACCCTGGTGAGCCTGGACTAGCTGTTCTCCGTTTCCACAACTGATAAGCACCCTCAAGGCCAAATGCCTGATTCATGCATTCCAGCTGACTTGCTTTAGACAAATATTCTGTTGCCTAATTGTTCAGGGCTCAGACTTTAGAGAGAAATCTCCTCTGGGCACACCTGTGCCAGTGTAAAGCCTGCCAGTGTAAATAAAGAGCTTCCCTTCTCCTGAGTGTTGCCTGGTTCCCTACTGAAAATCTGCTGTAACACCATCAAAGAGGCCTCCCACGACCACCTCACCTATAATTCCATCAGCACCAAGCCATTCCCCTCTCTTCTCACTGGCTTCTCTGTTCCATTACCTGATGGATGATTCCTTAATACACTTACAAAGTTTGCAGTTATACATTTATTTGTTGGATATTTGCTTAGAGTCTCTCTCCCCTGCTCTGCTGTAAATTTCTCAAGAAGGTCAAGGCCCTGTCTGTTTTGCTCACATTATATCCTTGGGACCTGGCACAGAGTTGGTGCTCAATAAATTCTGGAAAATGGTCCATGAGCAAATGATTGTATTATGATGTGGATGATGCTAGCCAGAGCTGAGAATTACACCACAACATCGGTGTTCTCTGGCCCCTTTCTTCAGACTTCAGTCCCTGGTCAGAGTCCCCTGCTTCCTAGATTCCTGGAGGGCTAACTTCAGGTAAGTACAAAGGAAGGGGGGCCACACCGCTGGCAAAAAAAAAACCCAAAAAACAAAAAACAACCTCCATTCAGGGTGATGAGCAGACAGCGTGAACGGACTGGAAATTTGTCAGGAAAAATGGAGGAGAGAGGAGGAATGCCAGAACACAGGGGCAGAGAGTCAGCTGGTCTGCGGGAGGGACTCTGTGCGGGGACAGGGATGGCCTACTGGGCGTGCCTCCCTGCTTTCCTCTGGCTCCCTTAGATAAGACCAGCAGTTTTGTCATCATCCCCCTCTCTCCCCACAGTCCAGGCAGCCCAGCCTCACACTTTGGAAGCATGTCAATCCAGGAGGACATCCCACCCCAGCACTGGTCATGGATCTCTAAGTCCCAGAGGGACTTGGCAAAGTCCATCCTGATTGGGGCTCCAGGAGGTAAGAAGGGGCAACAGAAGCCTATAAAAAGAAGGGGGAATGAGGCTGGACAGAAGCAATGAGGGTGGAAGGAATTAATGACCCCAATCCGTTGCTGGCCAGGAAGGGCTCCGGAGGGTCTGTGTTCATTGGCGTCTCCCCTGTGTTGTTATGGACCCTGGGTGGGGCCTCTTCTTGGGCCCCTCCAGGCAGGGCAGAGGGAGCCTGTGGCTTGGGAGCCACACGTCATGCCTGTGGTTCCTGGACTCTGGCCTCTGGAACAGGGTAAACACTGGTGACAGATCTGATCCTCAGCCCATTCGGGCCTCCTGCTGCTGACAGCCTGACGGTGTAGAGGACACCCCCAGAGACAAGCAGGCTACGGCAGCATGGACGGTGTTACTGAAAGTGGGGCTCCTCTGACCTGGGCTGAATCAAGCGACAGGGACCCCAGAACCTGGAGTAGTACTGAAGGAGCTGGGGAAATTCAGAGGAATGGGGAGCGGGAGGGTAAGAGTGTCAGTGAATTGCCAGGGGTTGAAAGAAAAAAAAACAAGGACCTTAGGAGAGGCTACTGGATAACGAGGGGCCACACTAATAATATCTAGTAGACCAGCTATCAAGGGGGGCTGAGACTGAGAGAGATGGGCAGCTGAAGGGCATGAAGTCTGGGATCGTGCAGGATCAGCTAGGTGGATGATGGTTAAGGATCTGAGCCTAGAGCTAGTCGGCAGAGTCAGGGGATGTGGGGGGGGGACTCCCATCTCTTAGTTGGAAGCTGTACACTATTGGGCAGTTTCTTTACTCTTTCTCAGGCTCTGTTTCTTTATAAAAAGGGGATAACAATATAGCATTAACAGCACCTGCTTCATTGGATCCTCGTACCTTAATATGTGTACACATAATGCCGGCTCTAAGAGGGACTCAACAAAACTGGAAAGGCCAGGGAAGGAACAGGGAATGCAGAGATGAAGGATGGGAGGAGAGGCAGGTGCCCATGAAGCCCCCTTCTCCTGCAGGGCCAGCGGGGTACCTGAGGCGGGCCAGCGTGGCCCAGCTGACCCAGGAGCTGGGCACTGCTTTCTTCCAGCGGCAGCAGCTCTCAGCTGCAATGGCAGACACCTTCCTGGAGCACCTCTGCCTGCTGGACATCGACTCTGAGCCTGTGGCTGCTCGCAGCACCAGCATCATCGCCACCATCGGTAAGCACCTTCTCCCCTCCCTCCCACTGCCACACCACAGGACCTCTTGGTCTCTTAAGGTGCCCCCTCATCTTTGGTCTCCCTTGAAATGTCTCCATATTTGTTGAGCATTTGGTAGGCAAGGTTTTGAGTCCTGAGAGCAGATCAGTGAAATAAACCAAGATCCCTATCTTTGGGGAGTTGACCATCTAGCGTGGGGGATATAAATAATAAACATAATATATTATTGGGTAGCCATTGCTGAGAATATTAGACCTGAGCAAAGACTTGAAGAACATAGAGAATGTGCATGCAGGTGTCTGGGCAGAGCATTCCAGGCAGAGAGAATAGTCAACGCAAAGGAATGAGTTGCTAGAAATTGACAAGGGAGAAGAATTGTAGAAATGAAGAGACTGTAGGGGAGGGGAAGACGATGTCCAGCTCAGTAGGCTATTCTTAGAATTTGAGTTTTTCTCTTAAGGGAGATGGGGAATTACCACAGAGTTTTGAGCGAGGAAGAAACACGCTATTACGCATGTTTTAGCAGAACCACACTGACCGCATTAAATAGATTGGAAGTGGGGGTAGGGGCAGGGGCAGAAGCGGCTCCTGCTAATGGTGGCTCAGACCAGGTGATGGCAATGGAGGTAATGAGACGTGATCAAATTCTGAATGTATTTCAAAGGTAGAATCAACAGGATTTCCTAATGGTTGGATATGGGGTTGAGTGAAGGTTGGGAAAGGAGTCAGGGATGACACCAAGGTTTTTGGCATGAAGAACTAGAAGATGCATTGTCAATGGAGCAGCAAAGACTGGTGGAAAGGTTTGCAGGGAGGAGATCAGGAGTTCACTTTCAGACATGTTGAGTTTGCAATGTGTATGAGACATCCACGTTTAATAGAGAGTGAGCGGTCAAATCCACAAGTGTGGCTTTGGGAGAGAGGTCTGAATTGGAGGTATAAATTTGGGGGTTGTTGGCATACAGATGATTTTTATTTTATTTTATTTTTTAAAAGATTTATTTATGCATACAAGAGCTGGGGTACAGGCCAGAGGTGTGTGTGTGGGGGGGGGGGTTGGTGAGAGGATTCTCCAGAGACAGAGCGGGGAACAGAACAGGCAGACTGAAATACACTGCTGAGGGGAGCAGCGGGAGAGACAGGAGAGGTCTGCTGCGCCATGCGGGTAGCTCCCTGGCTGGGGAGTGAACTCGTGATGCAGTAGCTGCAGATAGCTTCATAGTGCTGAGACTTGCACCACCCAGGAGGCCACCATACTGTGGTCTTATCTCATGGGTCTGACCATGCTCTGTTTGGATGAGCCCCAGACTATGACTGTGTCCGGGGCTTTGATTTTTCCCTCTGGTTGCCTGGAGGTCAGCAACAGGGGTACTGAATTATGGATGCCTTGCATAGATCTAAATGAAGTGGGGGTTGGCCAAGAGGGGGATCTCTCCACCCCTTTGGCCAGCATCCTGGCCCCCAAGTCCATCCTGTGATGTAGGCCATGTGGAGGTGAGCTGGAGCCCCTGCCCCAGACCAAGGCCTTGCTGAGGTGCTCCCGACTCCCATCGAGGGCCCACAATTTCTGAGAAAATAAGTGTTTTAAGAAAAAAGTGAATGGGACCTCCCTGGTGGCACAAGAGGTTAAGATGGCACCTATTCGCAGCCACTGTAGCACAAGTTCGATCCCCGGCCAGGGAGCTACCCACATGGTGCAGCAGACCTCTCCTGACTCGCCTGCTGCTCTCTTCAGCAATGTATTTCAGTCAATCTGCCTGTTCAGTTCCCCACTCTGTCTGTGGTTAATCCTTTCACCCCCCCAACACACCTCTGGCCTGTACTCCAGTTATTGTATGTATAATAAAATAAATCTTAAAAAAAGAAAAGATGAATGACCAAAAAGGTTTTCATCCTTGAGTAGACTGAAGAGAAGCGAGAGGTGTTGAAAAAAATCTACACACACATATAAAATATTGTGTAATAGATGGGCCTCCCTGGTGATGCAGGGGTTAAAGTCTCAGCGCTATCAAGCTATCAACAGCCACTGTGGCTGGGGTTCAATTTCCAGTCTATCTACCTGTTCTGCTCCCCATTCTGTCTCTGGTGAATCCTCTCACCTCCCCCGCCCCCCGCACCTCTGGCCTACACCCCAGTTCTTGTATGCATGAATAAAATAAATCTTTTTTTAAATATTGTACTATAGAAAAGAAAATGAGAATCAAGAAAAGAAAAAAAGGTGTCCATGAATTAAAAAAAAATTGTACTGTGTTTATTGAGGTAAAAATGGTTTACAGCATTGCCCACAGTTTGGGGGTGTATGTCTCTTCAGATGTATGTCAAGACACTAACCGGCCAGCCAGCACCTGTGCTTCTCCACCACATAGTCGTTTGGAAACCTCCCCGTCAGCTCCCCTCTCTCCATGCTCCCCCTCTGGTAGCCTCAATTGTATAGTCACATTTTAAGGTTTGTTTTGCTTTTGCTTTTCTGTTCCTCTGTTTAGTTTCTCTCTGTTCCACAAGTGAGTGAAATCATCTGGTATTTGTCTATCTCTTTCTGACTTAAATCATTTAGCATAACCCCTCCAGTTCCATCCATGTGTCACAATGACTAAGTAGTATCCATTGTGTCAGAGACCGCATCTTCTGAATCTGCTCGGAAGTCTTTGGGCGTTTAGGTTGTGTCCTTAACTTGACTATTATAAAGTGCTGCAATGAACACAAAGGTGTATGTATGCCTTCAAATTTGTGTTTTTGTGTCCTTAGGATAGATACTTAGGAATGGGATTGCTGGGTTGTAAAATAGATCTATTTTTAATATTTTGAGAAAGCTCCATATTGTTTTCCATAAGGGCTGGACCAGTCTAAAATCTTTTTTTTTTTTTTAAGCATTTTAAAAGGACAGACTTATTAGTAAAAGGGGTAAGAAAAAGAGAGGCACCTGCATAGTCCGGGTAGGCAGGAGAGCTGCCTGGGTCGTCTACATTCTGACCAAGAGTGTATGAAGTTTCCCTTTCTCCACACCCTCTCCAGCACTTGTTGTTACTGGTCTTTTTGATGTTGGCCATTCTTATGGGAGTGGTGGTTTTAATTTTCATTTCCCTGGTGGCGCAAGGAGTTAAGATGCAACCTATGAAGCAATTGGCAGCCTCTGCAGTACAAGATCGATTCCCAGGCCAGCCAGGGAACAACCCACATGGCACAGCAGACCTCTCCTGACTCACCCACTGCTCCTCTCAGCAGTGTACTTGGGTCAGTCTACCTTTTCTGTTCCTCACTCTGTCTCTGGTGAATCCTCTTACACCCCCGCCCCCTCACCTCTGGTCTGTACCCCTGCTCTTGTATACATAAATAAATCTTTTTTTTTTTAATTTTATTTTTATATTCCCCCATACAATTGCAACGCCCCATTCTGACCCCAATCTTTCCCCTCCCGCCCCCCACCCCCAAAAAGTGTCTCTGGTTCATAGTTTTTTGTTGATTTTGATTTTCACTTTCTTATATTCATTTTCCTGGTCCCTTATTTAAGTTTTCTAGATTCCTGCTATGAGTGAGACCATCCGGTATTTTTCTTTTTCTTTTGGCTTATTTCGCTGAGCATGATCCCTTCCAGCGCCATCCATGTTGCTGCAAATTTCGCTGAGCATGATCCCTTCCAGCGCCATCCATGTTGCTGCAAATTGCATGTGTTTATCTTTTTTGAATGCTGAGTAGTATTCCATGGTATATATGTACCACATCTTCTTGATCCAGTCATCTATTTTTGGGCATTTGGGTTGTTTCCAAAGCTTAGCTATTGTAAACAGTGCTGCTATAAACATAGGGGTGCAGGTGCTCTTTGGAATTGATGTTTCTGTGTCCTTTGGGTAAATACCTAGGAGTGGAATTGCTGGATCATATGGAAGCTCTATGTTTAGTAGGTCCAGAAATCTCCACACAGCTCTCCATAGTGGTTGGACCAGTTTGCACTCCCACCAACAGTGCAGAAGAGTTCCTTTTTCTCCACACCCTCGCCAACATTTGTTGTTGCTAGTTTTTTTAATATGTGCCATTCTCACTGGTGTGAGATGGTATCTCATGGTAGTTTTGATTTGCATTTCCCTGATGACAAGTGATGTTGAACATTTTTTCATATGTCTGTTGGCCATTTGCATTTCCTCTTCAGAAAAGTTTCTTTTTAGCTCTTCTGCCCATTTTTTGACTGGATTATTTTCTTTGTTGTTGCTGAGTCTCATCAGCTCTTTGCAGATTTTTGTGATCAGTCCTTTATCATTAGTGTTGGGTGCAAAAATGTTCTCCCAGTTAGTGGGGTTTCTCTTTGTTTTTGTTATTGTCTCTTTTGCTGTGCAGAAGCTCTTTAATTTGATGTAGTCCCAGCTGTTTATCTTTGTCTTCACTATCACTGCTTTGGGTGATGTGTCTGTAAAGATGTCTTTGATGTGCAAATCCCGTAGTGTTTCGCCTATATTTCCTTCTATGTATTTTATGGTTTCAGGTCTTATGTCTAGTTCTTTGATCCATTTTGAGTTGATTTTTGTGTATGGTGTGAGGTAGTGGTCAAGCTTCATTCTTTTGCATGTAGCGACCCAGTTTTCCCAGCACCATTTATTGAACAAACTTTCTTTGCTCCAATGCATAGTTTTTGCTCCTTTGTCAAAGATTAGTTGACCATAAATCTGTGGGTTTATTTCTGGATTTTCTATTCGATTCCATTGGTCTGTATGTCTGTTCTTGTTCCAATACCATGCAGTTTTGATGATTATGGCTTTGTAGTATAGTTTGAAGTCTGGGAGTGTGATGCCTCCATTTCCTTCTTTTTTTTTTCAGTAGAGCTTTGGCTATTCGGGGTTTTTGGTGATTCCATATGAATTTCATCAATAATTGTTCTATTTCTTTTTTTTTTTTTTAAAGATTTATTTTTATTTATTTATACAAGCACTGGGTACAGTCAGAAGCGCGGGAGGGTGAGAGAATTCACCAGAGCCAGAGCGGGGAGCAGAGCAGGCAGAAGGACCGAAGTACACTGCTGAGGGGAGCAGCGGGCAGCAGGAGAGGTCTGCGCGCCATGTGGGACCCTTGCCCAGTAGCCGGGGAGCAGCTGGGGATCGAACCGGCACTGCAGAGACCGCGGGCAGCTTCGCAACCCAGCGCTCAACCTCTGCGCCACCGGGGAGGCCCAATAATTGTTCTATTTCTTTGAAGAATGCCATTGAGATTTTGATTGGAATAGCATTGAATCTGTATATTGCTTTTGGTAGGATGGCCATTTTAATAATGTTTATTCTTCCAATCCATGAGCAGGGGATGTCTTTCCATTTCTTTGTGTCTTCTTCTATTTCTTTTAAAAGTGTTTTATAGTTTTCTTTGTATAGGTCCTTTACCTCTTTTGTTAGATTTATTCCCAAATATTTGATTTTTTTTGTTTTGATAATAAAAGGGATGGTTTTTTTGATTTCTTCTTCTTCAGATTAAATAAATCTTTTTTAAAAAATTGCATTTCCCTGATACAAGTGATGATAAGCTTTTTTTAAAAAAGATTTATTTATTTATGCATATAAGAACTGGGGTACAGGCTAGAGGTGCAGGGTGTGAGAGGATTCACCGGAGACAGTGGGGTACAGAACAAGCAGACCAACTGAAATCCACTGCTGAGGGGAGCAGCGGTGAGACAGGAGAGGTCTGCTGAGCCATGTGGGTCAATGCCCGGCCTGGGGATTGAACTTGCTGCAGATTGCTTCATAGTGCCGAGACTTAATCCCTTGCGCCATCAAGAAGGCCCATGAGGGTATCTTTTAATGATTAAAGAAATGACAGCAAGTTTATATGCCAATGAGAATGATCTAATAAAAAGGAAAACATTGGCAGCAAAGGACTGGAGAATGGCTAAATCTCTGTTGGTAAGCATGGCCTTGAGCAAGTGAGGAGACCTAGTTAGTACAGAAGTGGAAGAACCAGTTTAGGCAGGAGAGGCTGGACAACTGGTTCGCTGCTGCCCAATCAGTAGAGCAGGGACAGGGCAGGACTCAGCTGTCCTCATCCAACATCAGGGACTGCAGCTCTAAAGCCAGTGCCCCAAATGCTCTCACCTGGCACCCATCATACTCCTGAGTTACCCCACACTGCAGCACTAAGTATCTGCCAACACAGTCACCCCAGGCCAGGCTAAGCACACTCCCCCCCAAGACCCCACGGTGTTGCTTCCTCAGGGAAGAGGCTGGTATTGACCGGAGAGGACAGAGTTTCAGAGCTGCCAGCAGGTGGGCGGCAGGGAATAAAAATTAGGTCACAGAATTTCTGCGGCTTGGGGCTTCTCTGGGATTTGGAGAAGTTTGTCCGAGCAGCGTCTCTGGTTCCAGGGCCGGCATCTCGCTCCGTGGAGCGTCTCAAGGAGATGATCAAGGCCGGGATGAACATCGCGCGACTCAATTTCTCCCACGGCTCCCACGAGGTTCGGGACCAGGCCGCGCGGGGAGGCGGGCTGGGGGAGAGGATGGATGCCCCGGGTTCTGGCCGCCTTTCCCCGAAACTCCCGTTGGGTTGCGTCCCCAGTACCACGCCCAGTCCATCGCCAACGTCCGGGAGGCGGCAGAGAGCTTCGCAACGTCCCCGCTTAGCTACCGGCCCGTGGCCATCGCTCTGGACACCAAGGGACCGGAGATACGAACTGGGACCCTGCAGGGGGTGAGAGGCCGGGCCGGACCCTGGGGCGGGGGTACCCAGAAGTGGGCGGTTGGGCAGGTCCGACCCCAGGGGCGGAGCATAGGGAGGGGCCGCCCGGGCCGCGGGACCTAAGGCGCCCTCTGGCTCCGCCCCCAGGGCCCCGAGACCGAAGTGGAGCTGGTGAAGGGCTCCCAGGTGCTGGTGACCGTGGACCCGGCATTCCAAACTCGGGGGGACGCGAACACCGTGTGGGTGGACTACCCCAATATTGCCCGGGTCGTGACGGTGGGGGGCCGCATCTACGTTGACGACGGGCTCATCTCCCTAGAGGTCAAGAAAATCGGTGCGGATGCCCCTCCCACCCCCGCCCTGCGCAAATCTGGGTGCACGCCCTTCTCTGGCTCCCACCTTCTCAGGGTAGACCGGCCACACCTCCCCTGGCCTATGTCCTTGCCCTCCCGTCCTGTCCCGGGAGCCCCCAGCACCCAGGCTCCTAGGCTCGCCCTGGCTTGGGGCTGAACTGGAGGGTTGGTCGTTTCTTCCACAGACGTCCACAAATAGGGGGCCTATTTGATGCTGAGCCTAAAGCGAATGGGACTCGATTCTGGTTCTTTAGGGGTCTAAACCTGGGGCTCCCTGTGCTGTGACTGTAGTCCGACCTCACCCCTGACCTTTCTGAAAAGGCTGGCTCTGTCCGAACCCGTAGGCCCAGAAGGGCTGCAGACCGAAGTGGAGAACGGAGGCCTCCTGGGCAGCCGGAAGGGTGTGAACCTGCCGGGTGCCCAGGTGGACCTGCCTGGGCTGTCCGAGCAAGATGTCCGGGACCTGCGCTTCGGGGTGGAGCATGGCGTAGACATCATCTTCGCCTCCTTTGTGCGAAAAGCCAGTGACGTGGCTGCCGTCAGGGCTGCTCTGGGACCAGAAGGACAGGGCATCAAGATCATTAGCAAAATTGAGAACCATGAAGGCGTGAAGAAGTGAGACTTGGTCTTTGTCCCTATCAGTCCCTAACCATGCCCATAGTTCCTCTTCTCCTGCAGGCCTCTCCCGGCCTGACTAGCCCAACCACCCAGGTTTGATGAAATCCTGGAGGTGAGCGACGGCATCATGGTGGCAAGGGGTGACCTGGGCATCGAGATCCCTGCGGAGAAGGTTTTCCTGGCTCAGAAGATGATGATCGGACGTTGTAACTTGGCGGGCAAGCCCGTTGTGTGTGCCACACAGGTCTGGAGTGAGCCCACAGGGCCGGGGCATGGTGTGGGTGTGGGGGCACTGAGAATGAATTCCCCCACCTTAAGTCTAGAGCCCAGTTTACTGTCCAGTGTCAGATTCTCATAGAATGAAGTTAGGAAACGGTGCTGTGGTCTCCAATTTTAGATAAGGAAACGGAACTGCCAGAATCACAATTTGATCATGACCCTGACATTCAGGGCACTCTGGGAGCGTGGGTGTCAGAAAAGTAACTTGGACAGATTTCCTGGCAGAATGTGACTCCAAGAGCTCTGATGTCCAGATGTTTCCCAGATGCTGGAAAGCATGATCACTAAGCCCCGGCCAACTCGGGCAGAGACGAGCGATGTGGCAAACGCTGTGCTGGATGGGGCTGATTGCATCATGCTGTCCGGGGAGACTGCCAAGGGCAACTTTCCTGTGGAGGCTGTAAAGATGCAGCATGCGGTAGGAGTTTGGCATGAAAGGAAAATGGGCTGGAAAACTATACCCCTTTTGCACCCCAGGGCCTCTGCCCACCCTGACCTCCTGCTGCCTGCAGATTGCCCGGGAGGCCGAGGCCGCAGTGTACCACCGCCAGCTGTTTGAGGAACTGCGCCGGGCAGCACCTCTGAGCCGCGACCCCACTGAGGTCACCGCCATCGGCGCCGTTGAGGCTGCTTTCAAGTGTTGTGCTGCTGCCATCATCGTGCTGACCACCACAGGCCGGTGAGGGGGACGCCGGGAACGCCAAGACAGGGCTTTGGGTCAGGGGCCCACTGAGAAGGGACTTGTCGCATCACAGAGATGAAGACTTATAATCTGGGATAAGAGGAGAAATAGAGAGCTGAGGCCAGGAGAGGCAGATCTTGGAGCACACCAGGAATTATGCCAGTGAGCTCCAGGGGCTGGGGCGGTGTGGGGGTTGGGGAGGAGATGGCATTACTGGGCCCATTGGCTTCCAGACCACTTAGGCTCCTAAGGTTCACAGGCAAGACCTCTGTCTCTAGCCCACAAAGCCTGATGGTGCCAGGGTGTGGCAGAAATAACAAGGTCTGCGTTCAAGTGTGTTTTGAAATTTAGCTATGACACCTTCAGCAAGTCAGCCAGGCTCTATAAGCCTCTTCTGTTTCCTTGTGGGGTTGTGAAAATTTATAAGAGACGTTTGTGAGTATATCTTCAGAAGAGTTTTAAGTTCCCCCTTGTCTCGTTGGATATGTCCTTTATTATTTCTTACATTCCTTGTATGGTAAGAAGGGCAGGTAATCTTACTCCCATTTTAAGGTGAGAAAAACAAGGCCCAGAGAAATATGACTTCCTCAGGGTCATGCAACCTATTGGTGGCTCATGGAATCAAAGCCCAAACTTTGTTTCCTAGTTAATACTTTCTCACTGCTCTGGTCTGACCTTCTCTGCCTTCTTCAGCTCAGCCCAGCTTCTGTCCCGTTACCGACCTCGGGCAGCAGTCATTGCTGTCACCCGCTCTGCCCAGGCTGCCCGCCAGGCCCACCTATGCCGAGGAGTCTTCCCCTTGCTTTACCACGACCCTCCAGAGGCCATCTGGGCAGATGATGTGGATCGCCGTGTCCAGTTTGGCATCGACAGTGGTGAGTCATCCAGACATCCTCCCTACCCACCCAGGGATTTGTATCAGGAATCCTCCAGCTCGGCTTCCCATACTTGCCCAAAGGACCTCACCTCTCTCCTCTGGTTCCAGATTTTCTCTGTGAGGTTCGCTAAGACCTCCAGGGCAGGGGGACATGCCGAGGGAGCAGGGCAGAAGGAGAGAGGTCAGGGCCATCCCTAGGAAGTCAGCCTGATGCGTGCATGCACTAGGTGGCTAGAACAGGTGTGACATAAGGAGAAAGATGTGGGGGGAGAAAGGGGGGCCCCTAGACCTGGAACTAAAAACACAGCTGGCATATGCTAACTCCTGCCTCTTTCTACCAGCAACACAGACCTGCTGCTTAGTAACATACCTCATTCCCTCCGTGGACACACCTGCAGCTCTGATATACTGAAAGGGTCACATTCCCTGAGGAGTCGCCTAGGGCACACTGCAGTTTGCTTTAGGCCCCTCATGCCCTACAAGGTGCCTTGAGGAGGTAGAGGGTGGTGGCTAGTTCTCAGTACTTGGCTGATCTGGGTCCCTTAAAAAAAAAAAAAAATTGAGGCCTCCCTGGTGGCACAAGGGGTTAAGTCTCAGCACTATGACACTTGTATTTATGCACTTGTATGCATAAATAAATAAAAGAATAAATCTTTTTAAATTTATTTATTTTTGTAGAAGAGCTAGGGTACAGGCCAGAGGTGTGGGAGGTGAGAGGATCACCAGAGACTGAGTGGGGAGAACAGGCAGCCTGAGTGAAATACACTGCTGAGGGGAGCAGCGGGCGAGACAGGAGAGGTCTGCTGTGCCATGTGGGTAGCTCCCTGGCCAGGGATCAAACTCAGGCTACAGCAGTGACAGGGCTGAGACTTAACCCCCAGGCGACTAGGGAGACCCCTGACCTCAGTCCCTTAATGGCTGATCATCTCCCCCCACCCCCAGGAAAACTCCGTGGCTTCCTCCGAGTTGGGGACCTGGTGATTGTGGTGACAGGCTGGCGACCTGGTTCCGGCTATACCAATATCATGCGGGTGCTGAGCGTGGCCTGAGATGCCCTTGCCTCCGACCTAGCCAACCCGTGACCCCGTCCCTCCACCCTGCCCCTCCGACTGTACCAGGCTGTCTTCCCACCCAAGGCCACACCTGCCATCTAGCACATTACAGGCACCCCCTCTCCTGTCCATCCCACACCGGCTGTGGCAGTCTGCGTCCAGCGAAGCACAGACTGTCCAGCAGTGCCACTGCTCGTCCCCGCTCTCAGCTGGGCCCTGAAATGTTCTGAGCCTTTAATCCCAGTTTAACTGGTTGGTTCTCTCCCCCCAGGCTTCCCACATCTGGGAGTGGGAGAGGGGAACAGGGCAACTGTGTCCATTTACCACAAAATCCACTATTTTAAAAACCTTTCACATCCATGGAGTGCACATCTGTGGGCCTCCTGTTAAGTCAGGCAGCTCCTGGGGAGAGCGCCACTGTGCCTGATGGCTTAGTGCAGGCCCGCACTACCCCTTCACTGTGACTAATGGGGACATCAGAGCACTGCTCTTTGCGGGGCCTTAGGGTAGCTGGATGTGGAGAGGTGCTGAGAGCCAGGTGGCTCACCTCCTCACTGTGGCAGCAACACCCCCCCCCTCCCCCCCCCAGCATTGCTCATCTGTGCCATCCCTAGGAAGTCAGGGCCGCTGGCCCTCCTGCCTCCTGTATTCAGAAACCCCTGCCTGCCCGCTTTGTTCCCACACAGAAACCAGGAGTCAAAACGAGTGTCTCTATTTTCTTTTTAAACTCAGCTATTTGGAAGCAGTTATAAAACTTTTCTCATATCCAGAACCCCAGAACTCCCCACCCAGGAGAAAAGGAGATTTAAGGTCCTGGTCCCACATTCTTTGATGCTGTAGAGTAGGTGTGGGGACAGGGGTGCGAGCTATGGGATTTCCCTTGTCCCTGAGAAGGCAGAGGTGCTGCTAGCCTGCATGGAGGCCTGGAGGCCTCAGCTCCCCCCTCCCTTATTCCTGCATCAACAGCAAACACAATAGAAAAAAACCCTTAAAGTGAGAAGAGTCGTACCCCTCTGCGGTAGCCCATCCTGCCCCCACCTGGATAGGGAGCGGATTCGAGTATTGCTGCTGACAGAGTGGGGCAAGGACCACAGGAACTGGCGTGAGGGGCCTGCCCCTTTCTGTCTCCCTACCCGGAGGGCGGGGGGGGGGGGCCGGTAAAGGAATGAGTGAATAAAATGAATTGATAATACATAAAATTAGCAAATGAATAAATACAATTATTAGATGATTGAATAAATAAGAAGGAAAGAAAAAATGTCATTTAAAGATTCAGTCCCTCGCCCCCCACCTGGGAGGATCGAGGCTGGCACACTAAGTAAGGAGGTGCCAACCATCCCTTAGCTTCAAGAGGGACACCACTGGGCAGAGGCACAGGGAGGAGGTGGCTCCCAGTTTACAAAAAGACAGTTCTACCACAGAGACAGAGAGTGCAGGGGGCTGGAGGTCTGCCCCCACTCCCACAGCATAGACAGGCAGGTCCGCACATGGCAGTGAAGGTGGCTGCACTAGGGACCCGAGACATTTGTTGACAGCAGTGGGGACACAAGCAGTTGGCAGTGGCCGGCTGTGCTAGGGAGACGAGAAGACGAGCACGCCGGACCGAAAACACAGGGTCGTGGGCAGGGAAACGTCTAATTACTTGGCAGTGGTGGCAGTGGCAGGTACTTGTGCTTAGTGATGTGGGGTCATGGGCTGGGCCTGCACCTGGCAGGACCATGGCTGGGAGAAGACCCCTGTTTGGAGTCCCTTCTACTTGGCAGTGGAAATGTACAGTGCCTGGCACAGTGCCTTGAACATGGGAAGCGCTCAGCACACTTGATGAATTGGTGAATGGATTAGGAGGCTGTCAGAACAGACTGTGGGGTGCCTGAGCTGAGGACAGAGACATCTTGGCAGTAAGGGGAGGTATTCCCAACGGGCAGTGTTTCGGGTCCCCTCAGCCTTCCCAAAGAGGCATCTGCCCTACCCAGAGCTAACCCAGGGGGCTCACATGTTGGCAGAGAGCTGGGGCCCCCGGGGGGTGGTCGGTTCAGGCACAGGTGGCCTGGAGGGCTGGGCTGTCCCTGGAGCCTTGGCCAGGAGCCCTGAGGGGGGCAGGCGTTCACTTCCCGAGCCCTTCCGTCCTGGAGAGCCATCGCCTGCTGCCCGCTGAGGCAGAGAGGGCTGGGAGGCTGAGAGTGGGCGGCCCCGAGGTCCTAGCCGCCGTGTGCCTCCTCCTGGTGGGGGCCCGAGCAGGGACACCTGGGAGCGGCCAGCCCTGGAGAGGCTGGCATGGAGGGTTCGGGCAGGTGGGGCAGGCAGGCGGGATGTGGATGCCCATGGCCCCCGGGCCAGCAGAGGGCCAGCTCGGACAGGTACCATTGGGGAGGCTGGGGAACCCGCTGAGCGCCGAGCAGGGCGAGCAAGGAGGGTGGCTGGAGAGTCGGGGGAGAGGGGCAGAGAGCCCCGCTGGTGAGTCAGGGCAATGGCCACATTGGAGGTCACTGCAGCGGCCTGCAGGGGCGCGTGCACCAGGGGCTCCCACAGCACCGGCTTTCCGCTAAGTCGAGCTCCTGTGCCAGGGGCCAGGCCCCGGACACCCCGAGCCATGTCCCTGTCATGCTGCACCAAGTGCTGCTCCATGATGCCCCCGCTGCTGCCCGGGCTTGGCTCGGAACGCTTCCGCTGAAGCATGGAATTCTTCTTGCCTAGAAGTTGGGAGAGAGGAATTCAGGAAAAGGAAGAAATTCAAGATGAAGGCTGAATATCAAAGAGTGTGAGAGAACATGATGGAGTCCAGGGGTAGCTGGTGAGGGTGGGGTGAAGAGTAGGGAGATGGGATTATGGGGATGGAGCTTGGGAGGTAGGGGGTGGAGGAAGAAGGTCAGGGGATGAGAGTATGGAGTATCAGGTGGTAAAGGGCAGGCTTGGTCCTCAGGGGCAGGAAGACTAAAGGCCTCGGGACTTGGGCTACAGCTCCAGTGGTAGGAGTTACTGCTGAGTGATAAAGATAGTGAGTCTCTGGGCCTCCCTGGTGGCGTAGACAGTTGAGTGCCGCACTGTGAAGCTGTCCCCAGCCTCTGCAGTGTGGGTTTGATCCCTGCCGGCTGGAGAGAAACCCACATGGTGCAGCAGACCTCTCCTGTCTTGCCCACTGCTCCCCTCAGCAGTGTATTTCGTCAGTCTGCCTGTTCTGTTCCTCGCTCTGGCTCTGGTGAATCCTCTTACCCTCCTGCACATCTGGCCTGTACCCTGGGTCTTGTATAAATAAATAAATCTTAAAAAAAAAAAAAGGATAGTGAGTCTGTGTAAAGGCCTGTTGGGGCATTTGCAGGGACTGGGGTGGACTGTGATATAGCACTGAAGCAGGAGAGTCTGGGCCCTGGGAGAATGAGGGCTCCTTGCTATGGAGATGGGGTGAGGGTACCAGCTAGAACTGGACAGACAAGGTGGATAAGCCTCACCTATACGGCGCAGCCGATCCATGGCCACAGTCTCAAAGGCCCTGCGCATCATGGGGAACTCCTCAAGCACTGCATTGAAGTGGTCTACGCTGAGTGAGTAGAGGCGGCAGTAGGTGTCAGCCCGCACACTGGCGGTGCGCCGGCCCCGTGTCAGCAGACAGATTTCTGCCGAAGTTGGAGAAAACCTTCAGAACCACTGTCCCCAGAACTCACTCTCACCAGGCCTGCAGCGGCTGGCCCAGCTTCCTCAGGCTTCTCCCCAGGCGGGAAGCACTAATGCTCACCCACCCACCTAGGGCCACTGTATACTCCAATCACGGTCTCTGTCCAACCCCACACAATTATTGGATTACTCCTCCCTGTCCTTACTCTCTCTAAATAAAAGCGCACACAGGCAGGCCTGGCTGGCTCCCACCCATTTCTTCACTCCACTTTAACTCCCACCCCGCCTCCATGGCGCTACCCCAAGGGGTGAGCATGGAGCAGTTCTCTGTGCACACCCTCCCCTCCACCCCTAGGAATGAACACCAGGGACAAAACCCCGAAACCCAAACCCAGGGAAAAGCAGTGCCAAAGAGAAAAGTAGTGCCAAAGGGCAAAGGGCTACACTATGGGGATGCTGAGGGTGGTGGGTGGCTTGGGGACTGAGAGTCACATGAGCTTCAAGTCACTCTGGGTAGCAACTGGCAGGACTACTCCCATGCCACAGTCTGGGGCCCTAAGTCGCCCCACCAGGGGCCCACAATGCTTCAGCCCTGGGACAGCACTGCCTAGTCCTACTTTTCTCCTCTCATAGGTTCTCCCAGTTTTACATTTAAGGGCTGTAAAAGGCTCACTGGCCCAGTAATTTCTAATCTGGCTGTGCAATGGAATGTATTAAGGAGCTTTTTGAATATAAAGCTCCAGGCCTCAGGCCCAGAGATTCTGATCTCATAGGCTTGGGGCAGGACTGGAACTCTGGTTCTGCAGCATAGCCAGGTGGAGATTGATGCAGGAGAGTGGTCACCCTCTGTCCTTGCTCCAGATCACCACCATCCCTGAGACCCACTGACCTCCAAAGTAGGATCCATCAGTGAGGCGGGTGTCCCGGGCGCCACGGGCCAACACACTGAGCAGCCCGTGCTGGATGAAGTACATCTTCCTGCCCACGGAGCCCTCACGCACCACGAGGTCCCCCGGCTGGAAGACCTCAAAGCGTAGCTTGGTAAGCACGGCAGTGACAAAGCTGGGGTCGGCATGGGCGAACAGCGGCATGTGGGCTACCAGGCCCCGACAGGTGAAGTTGATGATCTCCTGGGCAGGGTAGGGCCCTGTCAGGTAGACTGTGCTGTGCCCCCTGCCTGAGGTGCTCCCATGGAGCACATCTGTACCCCCAGCCCTGGTGTCATGATCTGCCAAAGGATGGGGACCCTTCAGTGGGTCTGGGACCATGCCTGAGCTCCTGCCTTCAGAGCTCTCTCAAGAGCCCATACAGGACCATCCCCCCAAAACAGAGTTCCCTGGCAGTCCCTTGCTATGTATTATATTTTACCCCCTAAGACATTCAAGAAAGACCTAGGGGCCTCCCTGCTGGCCTAGGGGTTCAGTCTTAGGGCTACTACTGCGATGGCCTGACCCCTGGCCAGGGAGATAGCCCACATAAGCACAACTCTCCTGTCTCACCCGCTGCTCCCCTCATCAGTGTATTTCAGTAGCTCTGCCTGTTCTGCTCCCCACTCTGTCTCTGGTGAATCATCTCACATACAACCCCACACTGGCCTCGACCCCAGTTTTTCTACCCAAAAATAAATTCTTTATTTTTTTATTTTTCTTTTTTTAAAGATTTATTTATTTATGCATATATGAGCTGGGGTATAGGCCAGAGGTTGGGGGGGGCGGCGCGGGTGAGAGCATTCACCAGAGACAGAGTGGGGAGTAGAACAGGCAATTGACTGAAATACACTGCTGAGGGGAGCAGTGGGCAAGACAGGAGAGGTCTGCTGCGCCATGTGGGTCAGCTCCCTAGCCGGGGATTGAACCCATGCTGCAGTGGCTGCCAGTAGCTTGATAATGCTGAGACTTAACCCCTTGGGCCACCAGGGAGGCCCAAAAATAAATAAAATCTGGGCCTCCCCGGTGCCGCAGCAGTTGAGTGCTGGGTTGTGAAACTTCCCGCAGCCTCTGCAGCGCTGGTTCGATCCCTGGCGGCCAGGCGAGGGTCCCACATGGTGCGCAGACCTCTATTGCCGCCTGCTGCTCCCCTCAGCAGTGTATTTTGTCAGTCTGCCTGCTCTGCTCCCCGCTCTGGCTCTGGTGGATTCTCTCGCCCTCCCGCGCTTCTGACTGTACCCAATGCTTGTATAAATAAATAAATAAATCTTAAAAAAAAAAAAAATGCAACCTATGAAGCTATCCACAGCCATTGCAGTGCAAGTTCAATCCCCAGCCAGGGAGATACCCACATGGCATAGCAGACCTCTCCTGTCTTGCCCGCTGCTCCCCTCAGCAGTGTATTTCAGTCAGTCTGCCTGTTCTGTTCCCCACTCTGTCTCTGGTGAATCCCCTCGCCCCCCACACCTCTGGCCTGGCCTGTACCCCAGTTCTTGTATACATAAATAAAATAAATCTTAAAAAAAAAAGCAAATAAAAACCCTAACCCCTAAAAGTCCTCTAAAGGCACCGCCTCCTGTGGGACCCTCTGTAAGCCTCAACCCCTATAGGCATGCCTGCGAACCAATACCCCCTCCCCAGATAGCTCCCAGAAACCGAGAAAGTACTCCAAGAGCCCCCTCCAGAGCCCCGCCCAGGCCCAGGCCTACCTCCCGCAGCGGCTCACTCAGCTCGCCTAGGATGCTCTCTTCGTCAAACATCTTGCCCTGGTAGCGGTGCTCGTAGTACTCATGTATGCGCTGCCGCGTGTCAGCCGGCAGCTTGTGGAAGGACATGTATTGCTCCACTTGCTTGTACTGGGGGGCCAGCCCACGGTCCATGGGCGAGCAGACGGGAAACAGATGTGGAGTTGAAACAGTGGGGGGCGGGGGAGACGTATGTGGAGGAAGGTTATAGGCAGTGGCCAAACACAGAGGGGTGAACCGTGCAGACAGATGGAGGACACATAACAACAGTCCCAGGAAAAAGCAGTCATGGGCAGAGCAGCGGTCCAAGCCCAGGGACACAGGTCCAAACAAGGTGAAGGCACACACAGGTACAGCACAGCACAAAGAAAGAGATGCAACAGAGGCATATGTCAGAACGGGAGCCTCAGGTTGAGTCCCCCAGCTCCAGCACCCTCCAGGCCCACCCTTCCTTCTGCCTCTGCTGACCTTCTCCTGGTACTGACGCCGGGAAGAGTCCAGAGACTGGATAAGGGCAGTAGCGTGGCCGATGAACATGGCGTAGCACGTGGCGCCCACGATCATGCTGAGCATGGTGAGCCAGACGTCCGGCATGCCTACAGGTGCCTGCTGCCCATAGCCAATGCATAGCATGTGGCTCATGGCCTTGAACAGGGCGTGGGAATACTGGCGGCCCCACGAGTGGTTCTGCGGGGGGCAGAGTGTATTGCAGAGCTGGGCGTATGCCCCTTAGAGCCTCATTCTCTTCTAGCCCCCTTTTCTCTTTCTCTTTCAGTTCTGCCTGCCCCCCTCACTTCAGATCTGCCTCCCAGGAGATACTTAAGTTTGTTTCTAAGGACCCTGGGCAGAAAGGGCCTCTTTTACAGCTTGTGTGGGGTCTCAAGTATCTGACTAGGTTTCCTTCTCTGCCTGCTCCCTCTAACACAAATATTTCCTTAGTCTCTTTGCCTTCTTTACCCACCCCAGCCCACCTCCTCACTCCTGAGTCACCTCTTGGTCATCTCCCCCTCATGTCGCACCTCCTGCCCATTATGGTCATCCCTGCTACTCAGGCGGAAGAGCCTGTAGGAAGGCCCAGGAGAGGCAGAGTTGTGGGGAGTTCTCACCACCATGCGGTTGATGGAGACCCAGCAGTCGGAAGGGAAGTCCTGCAGCATGGGCACCAGGAACTGCAGGCAGCCGTCCCAGTGACACAGCAGCAGCATCATCCCGATGAGGTTGAAGATGCGAACCACAGCGCTGGCCAGGTCATAGGTCATGTGAAAAATCTGAGGAGTCCGAGGAGGGGCTGCTGTGGACAGGAACCCCTCCCTGCTGGTCTCTTCCATTCCCAGCCTTGCAAATTCTCTTTGAACTTCTCACTAGCCCCAGTCCCCATGAATTTAAAAAATGGGGGTTATTATTTATTCACTTGTAGAGTTTTACAACACACAAAGCTAATACAGGTAGGTTGTGTTACTGCTCTCGTCTTATCAGTAGGAAAACTGATACAAATCATGTGCCCAGAATCACAGTGTCACAGAAGAAACCCAAAAGGTCTACTACACAAGCAGGCTCCGTTATTTCATAGGTAAAACCCCCAGGGCATGTGTGTAAGGATTAGTGCCAGAAGCCCTCTTCCTCTTTAATAATAAGAAGAATAGTAGTGGTAGTAGTAAGTAATTTACCGAGAATTTACGACATGTCAGGCACTCTTCTAAGTGCTTTATCCATATTATTATAACGCCTTCAATGCTTATACCTTAGTATATGTAAGTATACTTAACATTCTCATGTTATAGAAGAAATAAAGTCTCATATAGTAAATATGAAGACTAGGATCTGATCATAGGCAACGAGATCACACAGTCCACACTTGGAAACACTAAACTCTTCACTCTGAAGTTGAAACTCCAGCCTCTCACGCACCCTGCAATTCCTAGCTCCCGTCCCAGATCTTCCTCCCAGTCTAAATAACCCTCAAGTGTTTGTCCATCAGCTGTGCTCCACCCTCTATGCCCCCTCCTCACTCCAGGTCCCATCCCTGAACCCTCATTCTATCCATACTTCTCCCCCACCGACTTCAGAGACATCCCACCCTTGGAAGCCCAACCCACATGCCCTACCCCATAAAGTCACCGGGAGCCCCACCCACAGCACAGTCCCAGAGGAGTCTGCCAGCCTCCCTGCCCACCTCCCTGCCCCACCTCCTCCCACTGATGTATGTAGCGGATGAGGCGGGAGAGGCGGAGCAGCCTTAGCAGGCTGAGGATCTTGGTGAAGCGCACAATGCGCAGAGCCCGAGCTGTTTTGTAGACTTCTGCGTCCAGTCGTGGCTCCAGCTCCACCACCAGGAAGATGTAGTCCACCGGGATAGAGGAGATTAGGTCGACCAGGAACCAGGTCCGCAGGTAGCGTGTGCGGATGGCCCTCGGTGCCAGCAGGATCTCAGCGCCCTCTTCTACCACGATGCCCGTGCGGAAGTTAAGCACCAGATCCAGCAGGAAGAAAGTGTCAGAAAGGACGTTGAAGACAATCCATGGTGGGGAGTTCTCCTCCTTGAAGAAGGTGATGCCCACAGGCAGCACAATAAGGTTCCCCACCATCAGCAGGAGCATGATCAGGTCCCAGTAAAACCTAAGGTGGAGTGGGATGGGGAGTAAGACCATGATATTTCACCAGACACTAGACTAAAAACAGATAGTCTGACACAAGAGTGTCAAGCATGGGCAAGGATACAGAATAACAGAGTGACCATTTATATAATGGTGGCAGTGTCAACTGAACCACCATTTGGGAAAATAATTTGGCATTATCTAGTAAAGTTAAGCATTTCTATTCCCTGCAAACCAGCAATTCCATTCCTAAGTATATACACACTCAAGGGTGTATATATATGTATGTGTTCAAGGAGATACATATAGGAATAGCAGCTTTAAATCTGGGACAACACAAAGGTCCATCCACAGAAAAATGTAGATAAATATACTGTGATATATTCATGTCCTGAAATAAAATACAACTGTGAAATCACCCAACTGCAGTCAAATTCCACACAATGGATGAATCTCACAAAATTAATATTGAGCAAAAGAAACAAAGAATTCATACTGGCATATTGGCTGATTCTACTTATACAAAGTTCAACCAGGTAAAACTAAACTGGCACTACCTTATTTATTCATAGGAAATTCATAGGAAAGGGGTAAGACTATAAAGGAAAGTAAGAAAATTAGTACTATGAAAGTTAGAATAATGGGTTTGGGGAAGGAATGTGAGCAGTAGGGGGCTTCTGCCCCTCAATCTTTCGTTTTCCTTTTTTTTAAAAAAGATTTATTTATTTATTTATACAAGCACTGGGTACAGTCAGAAGCGTGGGAGGGTGAGTGAATTCACCAGAGCCATGGCAGGGGAACAGAACAGGCAGACCGACGAAGTACACTGTTGAGGGGAGCAGCGGGCAGCAGGAGAGGTCTGCGCTCCATGTGGGACCCTCGCCTCCAGCGCCGGGGATCAAACCCGCACTGCAGATATGGAACCCGCACTGGCAGCTTCGCAGCCCAGCGCTCAACCGCTGCGCCACCAGAGGAGGCCCTAGTCTCTCTTTTGACACCTAGACAGTAGGCTTTATAATTTGTGTGGTGTGTATGTCTACGATTATATACAACACTATATATCCCTACTATGTGTGTGTGTATATATTCTTAGTACATGATAATATAATGTCCTTATGATACATATATATTATCTATGCCATTATTGTTCAATATTTTAAAAGTTTAAAAAAAAAGATAAAGTACCCTGTGCTAATCTCACAGGATTGTTAAAAAAATATGCATTGAAACAATGGATGTGACAGTGCTATAAAATACTAGCTGGTATTATGACTCACCCACCCTTTATGCTAAGATTTCTCCCATCGCCAGCTTTCTGCTCATTCCTAGTGTAGGGCTTCACAAACTCCCCATCCCTCCTCCCCATCCCTCCTCCCCAACACAGATGGACTTATGGCTCCTGTTTCTTGGCTGTTTACCTCAATCCCAGGTAGGGATGGTTTGTCCCCCCTTTCATTTGAACTGAGCTTTTCAGGCATGTCCCTCCCCCTCCGTGGTAGCACAAACAGGGCCGCATACAGAGCAGCTCCCTAGGAGATCCTGAGGCAGCAAGACTTGAAGCTCTACATTCCTTTCCTTCCCTAGCCTCCCTGTGCCCACTGGGACTCTGGCTGAGCCCTGGCAAGGGCATGGGTAGGAGAGAGCCACACTGCTGTGGTAGCAGTTGTGGAAAGAGATCAGGAAGGAGCTAGGTAAAGCCTCGAGAAAAATCACTGGATAATCTGAGGGTCCCGATTACCTATGGTGAATTTAATTGCAAGATATGCCTAATGGCAGCAGAAAGCCAACCCCTTCTTACTCTGATTGTAAAATCTTTTTTTTTTTTTTAAGATTTATTTATTTATGCATACAAGAGCTGGGGCACAGGCCAGAGATGTGGGTGAGGGGGGCGGTGAGAGGATCCACCAGAGACAGAGTGGGGAGCAGAACAGGCAGATTGACTGAAACACACTGCTGAGGGGAGCAGCGGGTGAGTCAGGAGAGGTCTGCCTCTGCATGTGGGTTTCTCCCTGGCCGACCGGAGATCGAACTTGTGCTGCAGAGGTTATGGATTGCTTCATAGTGCGGTGCTTAACCCCTTGCACCACCAGGGAGGCCCATAAAATCATTTCTTTCAACCCCTGAAAGACTGACTTGGGGACTGGTCCCCAAGTCCAGGCCTCCAGGAAGACCCTCAAACTGTATGCTTTCAATCAAAAAATAAATCCTTGATTCCTTCTTCCTCCCCCTCCTGGGTCACTGGAGAAATGTTGTACTGTGAGCTGGGAGAAGAGAGGAAAAGAAGCTTCGCCTAGCCATAGAGCATCTTCACAGCCTGACTCACAGGCAGTCACAAGCCTAGCGGGTGATACAGTAGAGAGGATGGAGGCCCTCTAAGGGGGCTGCATGGCTTCTGGAGATACATCTTGGGGTGAAATGGGGGCAGGGAGGGAGAGCCACATGAGACTACACAAGGTGCATTGGTGGGTTGGAAATGAGACAGTAAGAGGGAAGTAGAAGAAACGTTGGGAGAAAGAGGAATATTTAGGGAGTATGTTTGTATGTGGATGCAAGATGATGTCTAAGTCTCCAATTGTGTTTCTAGGTTCCTGACTCACACCTCATCCTTTCTGCTCATTTTGTTCCCCAGGCAAGGTGCTTTGCACACATCCTTGCCTCATCCAAAAGCTGTCCTTCATTTCCCCCAAGGACAGGGCTGCTCTCCTCCCCTAGCGACCTTGATGTAGAGGAACAGCCTGATGGGGACTCTGAAATGGCCCCACCCCCACCTCTGTCCCTTCTCTCTGATAGTCACCTGGGCGGTGGCCATGCCCTTGCTTTGCTGCCTCAATCTGAGTTCAGACACTGCTCTGCCGCATTCCTCTTTCAGCACCAGGGACAGCGACCCGGCCGCTCTGAGGACACCCTAGCCCCCTCCCAGCGACCCTCTATTTCCTGGTACCCTGTCCTGCAGGTGCTTGAGAGTGGGGGTTTGGATGGAAGATAGAGGAGCTGGGTTTCATCCTCAGGTGGACCCCGAGCCTCGGAATGTGACATAATTTCCCATATTCCCAGCAAGCAAAAATGAAGGAAGCAAGGTCCCTAACTCCTGTGTTCCAGGTGGGGTGCGGGATTCCTGGAGTGGGAAATCCTGGCCTCTGGTGTCTGCTTGTTGCCCTTTGACTCCCCTGCCTGAGAAGTCACCAAGGATCTCCGGCAGGGATATCCCTCGCCCAAGAATTCCCAGGCTGGGCTGAGGGAAGAGACTCGGCCCACCCGGGGACCCCTGGGCCGGAAATGAAGTGACGGGGAGGGTGGGGCGGGCCTGGCCCCCGTGTCGCGGCCCGTGGGGGTGGGATTTGCGTCCCCCGCCCTCCCTGCCGGGCCCCCAGTACCGGAAGTCGCTGTAGGGGTGAATGATCCAGGCCCCCGCCGACTTGACTCGCTCCTGTTCTATTTCCACTGCTTTGTGGCTGCCAAACACGCGAAGGGAGAACTTGTTGACCGTGGGCTGGAGCAGCGTCCCAAGCGGCCTTCTCTTGGGCTCGGGCCCAGAACTGGACCCGGGGTTGGGACCCGAGGCCGTGGCCGCAGGAGCCTGGGCAGCAGGAGGTGCCGCCTCCAGACCGGGGTTCGCCCCGTCGCTGGTCCCGGGGGTCGGCCGCTGCTCCGCCTCCATGACGCCCGTCGGCTTACACCTTTGGCCTCCCAGACCCCGCCGCGGCCATTCCGGACCCCCGACCCTTCCCGGAGTGGGAGCCGGCGCAGCCCCGCCGGCTGGGAGCGGAGGCGTAGTCGGCGGGGAACTGCCGGCGCGCGGGGCGGAGGGGGTGTGTGCGACAGACTCTCCCGCGGGCGGCGGCGGGTTGCGCGGCGCCCCCTGGCGAGGGCCGCGCGAAGGCTGGGCAGCGCGGGCGGGCGGGGCTGCCCGAGCGCCAGCCCGGGAGGAGGTGGGGCCCGCAGAGCCGGGATCCCGGAGGGACACGGAGATGGGCGTGGCTAGCAGGGGAGGCGGGGCTCCCCCGCAGGTGGAAAAGGCGGTGGGGGCGTGACCCAGTGTTAATGGGCCTTTCTCCCCTGAGATGGGACGGGGCGGAGTAGTGGGGGGACCCGGCGGAGTGTGGTGGGGCGGGGGGAGACGGGGCGGAATGGTGGGGGTAGGGCGGGGCGGGTGAGGGGGCGGGGAACCCGTCTGCGCGTGCAGGAAAACCCTAAGTGGGCTGTCGCTCCAGGGACTAGGGAGGGTGAGGGATTGGGAACTAATGGAAGAAATGGGCAATAGCTTTTGAGATTCTTCTTCCCCACTCTCGCTAATGGACTTCGTGCAGTCCACTTTCTCTCAGCACTCTCCAGGCATATTCCTTTCTTCTGATCTTCTCCATAGTACTTAATTTAGAATTCATTGTGCCATCCTACACCAAATTTGCTCTATTGTGGCTGAATGGACGATGAGGATACAAAGATTAATACAAAAGTTCTAGCTATAAAGCCACCTGCTCCTCCAGAATAGGTAAATTACAGTGCTCTATGACGTTAACTGCTATAAATTCCTAAATATCTCAAGTTCATTCCTTCAACTCCATTTCTTGTTGCCATTGCCCTATTTAAATCCGTCAGCATTTTTTCACTTAAATTATTTCAGAAACCTTTAAAAGGGACTCTAAATTAGCCCAGACTGATCTTTTTTAAAGATTTATTTTATATTTTATTTATTTATGCATACAAGAGCTGGGGTGTAGGCTGGAGGTGGGGGGGGGAGGAAGGGGGAGGAGGTGAGAGGATTCACCTGAAACAGAGTGGGGAGCAGAACAGGCAATTGACTGAAATATACTGCTGAGGGGAGCAGTAGGCAAGATAGGAGAGGTCTGCTGTGCCATGTGGGTCAGCTCCCTGGCTGGGGATCAAACTTGTGCTGCAGTGGATGCAGATACCTTCATAGTGCTGAGACTTAACCCCTTGCACCACCAGGGAGGCCCCAGACTAATTCTTTTTTCACACTCTGCCAGAGTTAATTAAAATCTGAATGTAGCTCTATCACATGTTAAATATGTCCTTCAAACTTTCCTGTCTTCTATAGGATTGTATTTAAACTCCTTAAAATGACATACAAGGCCCTGAAAAGTTTGCACCTAGTTTTAACAACCTTTCTCCTGAGAATCCCTCTCTGGAAAGCCAAGACATCGACCACATTGAAATAACTTTTTTTTTTTTTAAGATTTATTTATTTATGCATACAAGAATTGGGGTAGAGGCCAGAGGTACAGGGGTGAGAGGATTCACAAGAGACAGAGTGGGGAACAGAACAGGCAGACTGACTAAAATACACTGCTGAGGGGAGCAGGGGGCTGTACCATGTGGGTAGCTCCCTGACTGGCCGGGATGCCTGGATCAAACTGGTGTTGCAGAGGCTGCTGATAGCTTCATAGTGCTGTGGTTAATTCCTTGTGCCACCAGAGAGGCCCATGTTGAAATACTTTTTTGGGTTGTTTTTTTTTTAAGGTTTATTTATTTATGCATACATGAGCTGGGTACAGTCCAGAGGTGTGCGGGGTGAGAGGATTCACCAGAGACAGAGTAGGGAACAGAACAGGCAGATTGACTGAAATACACTGCTGAGGAGAGCAGCAAGCAAGTCAGGAGAGGTCTGCTGCGCCATGTGGGTAGCTCTCTGGCTGGGGACTGAACTTGTGCTGCAGTGGCTGCGGACAGCTTCGTAGGTTGCGTCTTAATTCCTTGCGCCACCAGGGAGGCCCTGAAATACTTTTGAATTGGGGTTTTGGAGCAGGCCCAGAGTCTGAGGATCCCATGTAGGCTCTCTCTCTGTGCTTCCCTTTTTTTTTTTTTTTTTTTTTTTTTTTTAAAGATTTATTTTTTATTTATTTATACAAGAACTGGGTACAGTCAGAAGAGCGGGAGGGTGAGAGAATTCACCAGAGCCAGAGCAGGGAGCAGAACAGGCAGAAGGACCGAAGTACACTGCTGAGGGGAGCAGCGGGCGGCAGGAGAGGTCTGCACGCCATGTGGGACCCTCCTCTGGTGGCCGGGGAGCAGCCGGGGATCGAACCTGCGCTGCAGAGTCTGTGGGCAGCTTCGCAACCCAGCGCTCAACTGCTGCGCCACCGGGGAGGCCCCTGTGCTTCCCTTTGATAAGGAAAGAATTCAGTTTTGAGACCAAAGTTACAGAAAAGCAAGACATTTATTGATAGATTAGAGGAAGGGCACCAAAAATCTCTGAGCAGAAAGGGGTCCAAGTGGGTAGCCACTGAGGGGGCAAGGGTAGTTGCTTATGTGGATATAAAGGGCAAAGCGTGGGGATTTGGCCATTGGGTGTCTCCACATTGTATCTTGCCGATTGGTTGGGACCACAGGGTCTCCTAGTCTACTGAGGCCCACCAAATCTTCCCATTAGTTATCTGGTCTGCCTCTCCCCAGCCAGCTTTAGCCCACTGCTATTGTGCTATTGTGTTGGTGCTTCGAACATTCCAATTTTAGTTGAGTTGCGGGGGCACCCTCCTGGTCCACAACTGTTCTCCAATCAGATTGATAAATGACAGTAGGGCTTCTGGGTTTAGGGGCACTCTTGTGATTCCCCACTGATTGTTCAGCTTGATAAATGGGCAGGGAGCTTGGGCACCCTGTTCCTAAGTATTGCCTATACCCATTTCCTAACTTCCTCGTTCACATTGTTCAGCCTGGTCTCTGAACCTTTGCAAATATTTTCACTTCCTGATATTCTCCTCCAATTCTTCTCCTCCACTTAGTTCACATTTTCTCTCCTCTAGAAAACCTAGAAGCACATTACCAACTCTGCTTTCCTCAGGTAGTTCTAGTCTAGAGTTTTTACCAACGGAGAGGTCATCACTGTTCCTATCTGCTCTTGTCACAAGTCTGCCTTTATTTTTATTTTTTTGAAGAATTTCTTTTTCTTTTTTTAAGATTTATTTATTTATTTATACAAGCACTGGGTACAGTCAGAAGCATGGGAGGGTGAGAGAATTCACCAGAGCTAGAGGTGGGAACAGAACAGACAGACTAATGAAATACACTGCTGAGGGGAGCAGTGGGGGTGACAGGAGAGGTCTGCGCACCATGTGGGATCGCAAGCAGGCGGTGGGGGATCGAACCGACGCTGCTGAGGCTTCGGGCAGCTTCGCAGCCCACCGCTCAACCGCTGTGCCACCAGAGGAGGCCCTCTGCCTTTATTTGTTTATAGGTCTTTCTCTTCCATTTAAATGAGAAGTTCTGAAAAACAGGAGCCTTGAGCCTGGCACAGTGATGGACACAAAGTGGACACTTAGTAAATGCTTGTTGAATGAACAATGTTCATGGAAAAGGAAGTGACCCTCCACTCTTTTCTCTCAACCTCTTCAATTACCTGTTCTCGTCTATTTTAGGGACCGTCTTTCTGGCTAACTGATCTACCCAATCTCCCCCTGACTACCCTCTAGTTGCCCTCTGATAATCACTAACCAGTGTAGTTATCCTCGGGTTTTTTGTTTTTTTTTTCATTTCCCTTCTATTTCTCAATTCTTTCTGTAGTGTCTTTAGCTCTGCTCAGTTTGCCTCAAGGTCTCCTTCTCTCCCCTTTTTTTTCCTGTTCAGTAAATTTACACTTCTCATATATTATGAGTACCCACACAACATAATTCTCAAGCAATTTTCTGGGTTTCGGCACCTGCTTCTCCATCTCTCAAGCCTTTCCTCCACAGTCATGGCGCCGACCCCACACATGCATAGCCTTTGTTCAGTAAAAAAGGTAGGAGCCCCTCTTTGCTGTGGTAAGATAGCCAAACCGTTTCAAGAACTGGTGATTTGCAGGCTACGCTGGAGAATTAAACTTCACCCAAATCTCGAAAGGTTTGATGAGCGGCGCCAACTAATAAGTGACAACCCTTTCTTTTAAACCTCCAAACTTAACCACGTAAGTCACAGAAGTCTCATTAAAACGGTAAGAGGCTGGGCCTCCCCCGTGGCACAGCGGTTGAGCGCTGGGTTGCGAAGCTGCCCGCGGCCTCTGCGGCGCCGGTTCAATCCCCGGCTGCTCCCCGGCCACCAGAGGAGGGTCCCACATGGCGCGCAGACCTCTCCTGCCGCCCGCTGCTCCCCTCAGCAGTGTACTTGGGTCCTTCTGCCTGCTCTGCTCCCCGCTCTGGCTCTGGTGAATTCTCTCGCCCTCCCAAGCTTCTGACTGTACCCAGTGCTTGTATAAATAAATAAATTAAATAAATCTTTAAAAATAAAATTAAAATACTATTTAAAAAAAATAAACAAAATAAAACGGTAAGAGGCTGAGGCGAGGCAAAGGACAGAAGGCCTTGGACTCAAGGCACTGCGCCCCGCCCCGCCCCGCCCCGCCCCGATGAACTCCCTCCACCCAGCCCCTCGTCTGCTCTCACGAGCCGACGCCCTCCAGCTACGCGAGCACGCAGAGGCGTGCGCGGCCCTGGGGGCGGAGCCCTGGGGGTAGCTGGGAAGCGACGCAGGACGTGCGTCGTGCGTGCTCGCTCACGGTGGCGGCGGTGGATCGGAGAGGCCTGAGCCGGAGACCGAGCTGGGATCGGGCCCCGGGCGGGGGCGGTGCAAGCGGCGCCCGGCGGATCCTGGGGGCGGGGACGGAGCCGGGGCGGGCGGGACTGGAACGGAGCCGGGAGCTAGGCGGGAGGGCCCAGGGTCTCGGGTTGGGGGGGTGGAGCCGCACTTCGTCGCCGCGGGGGTGCCGGGACTCCGGCCGCAGTGCCGCCGCCATCACGGACTTCCTGTGGGACAAGCGCACGGGCCTCGCCGCCAGAACGGTGAGCGCGCCGACTGACGGGCCGCGGGGCCGCGCGGAAAGATGGCGACCGCGGGGCGGGCGGGAATAGAATTGGATTGGGGTTAAAGGACGTGATTAGGAGAGGGCGAGGGTTGCGACCTGCGAAGTGGCAGAGGTGAGGACTAGGGAGATGAGGTCGAAGGCGATCGGCCTGCTTTAGCTGTACCTGAGAAGACTTACAGGAAACTTGGGGGGACCAAGGTAGCAGATGGAGCGATGGAGAAGGCATAGAAGTGATTGCAGAGATGAGAGAGCGCAAAAGAGCAAAGTTGAACCAAGGCTGGAGTGGAGGAAGCCGCCACCATGTCACTTGGAGGATGCAGAGAATTGGCTCTAGGAGTTCTGGGTTTTCTGAGGAGAGCAGGGAAACTTAGAGGCTGAAAAAGGTGGTAGGCTGGGGACCCTTCGTTGGTGGGGAGGAGACTTGTTAGGAACTTTGTTAGCCGTGTGTTTGGTGAAGATGACATGTGGCTGTGCTAAACAAAGTTAAATTACCTGGGAGAATCTAGTGTTTCCATCTTCTCAGTTTCCTGCAAGCCCTGTTAGGCCACAAATGAATCATGTATCACTCCACTCAATTCCAGGAGGTTGAGAAGAAATAGCTTAGAATAGGAGCCAGATGTTGGAGTCATAAAGCTTTTCCACACCTAATCCTACCTCTTTTCCCCTTCCTCAGACTTCTGTCCCTGGCCTGTTTGATTTCATTCTGCCTTCCTATTCTCATCTGTATTGTGGCTCTGCTTTCTTTCTGATTCTTTCCTGAAAGGAGAAATAGGATTGTTACACCTTGCCATTCCCATTCCAATAACTGGAAGGTGGCCAAGTAGTGCTGATGCTAATTTAAAACCAGTTATTCTGTACTTCCTAAGCACAAGAGTGGAGAGGCCAGATGGGAAGCTGACTACAGCTTGGGCCCTCCTCTATTAGGACTTCTCAGGAATGATTTGGCCAGAGATGTGAGCAATGATTGAGAAAGTACAAGGGACTAGACTAGAGCTAAGTCCTTGGAATTTGTTTATATTTGGTTTACACTGCTGTAAGGAGAAACCTGGTAAACTGGATTCCTGCCCTCAGGACACAAGTGGTCTAGTTGGGGAGATAAGATATACTCTTAGGCTCTAAAACATTTTTCATAATTAGGTATACTAAAGTTTTGTTTCCTTTCGTGATGAGGGACTCAGTATGGCACAGGTTTATCTTAGATCCCAGCCAGGAGTGAATTGTCAGTCTCCATCAATTACCCAGTCTCACCTATAAGAAATGAGCTGTGGCCCAGACTTGAAGGTATTTGTGGAACCATGTTCGAGTATAGTCGAGTAATGAGCTGAGGGGGTTTCCCAGTTTTCAGCCAGAATTAGTAGGTAAATATATATTCCATCAAGGAGGAAATACAAGCACAGAGGAACACTGAGGAAGTTGTAAGTGGCAAAAAGACGTGGAAATAAAAGAGCAGAAAGCATCTTAGCTCTGGAGTAGCCAATCCTTGGAGGGGACCTAAGAAATCTCAGGACTTCCCCCACTATTTCTGATTTCCCTTCCCTTCCAGATGCCTCATCCCCGAAGGTACCACTCCTCAGAGCGAGGCAGCCGAGGAAGTTACCATGAACAGTATCGGAGCAGAAAGCATAAGAGACGGAGAAGCCGCTCCTGGTCAAGTAGCAGTGACCGGACACGACGGCGCAGGCGGGAAGACAGCTACCATGTCCGTTCTCGGAGGTGAGGCCTGGGAGGACATCTCAGACTCAAGGTTTCTCACTACTCATTTGTTCAACAAACAATGGCTATGTGCGGAGCAGTTGGGTGAAGATGATGCTTAAGACAGATGCTGGAATAAGTCATTTGTACCATGGTGTCAAGGGTATACGTAGTGGAAGTACGGGGCAAGGGGCTGAGAAAGCATCCAGCAGGTTTGGTTGGAGAGAAACAGAAAGTGTAGTTTGGGGGAAATTTAATTTCTCAGCTTGTCTGAAGGACAGGGCAGAAGTGGCCCAGGCAGAGGGAAAGCAAGTGCTAAAGGCTAGGGGTTAGAGCCAACAAGACAAGATGGAGTTAGTCTGTGTGACAGTGGCATGCATACTCAGTGGAAAGGCTGGATTACGGATTGTATGAAGGAAAGCTGGAAGTTGGGAATGTCTTGAGAAAGAAGTGACTGTTCCATTATGTCACTGGTGGGAGGGGATGTTCCCAGAGGGAGTAGTTCTCTGTCTCTCCAGGGGTCTTGGTGACATGAAGGTGTGGGGATCCACCTCTGTGCTAGTTACTTCGTTTCCCTCAATCTCTGTGATTTGATGAGTGCCTGAGAGCAATTTTTTTTTTAAAGATTTATTTTTATTTATGCATACAAGAGCTGGGGTACAGGCCAGCGGTGGGGGTGGGGCGCTGAGAGGATTCACCAGAGACAGCGTGGGGAACAGAACAGGCAGACTGACTGAAATACACTGCTGAGGGGAGCAGCAGGCGAGTCAGGAGAGGTCTGTTGTGCCATGTGGGTTGCTCCCTGGCAGGCCAGGGGATCGAACTCATGCTGCAGTGGCTGCAGACAGCTTCATAGGCTGCATCTTAACTCCTTGCGCCACCAGGGAGGCCCTGAGAGCAATTTTTATACATTATTCTTTGACATTACTGAGGGAGGACCTTTTCATGTGGCTTGGCAAAGAATGCGACCCCGGAACAGATGCAGCTCATGGGTGTTTGTTGTCCAACAGCAGCTATGATGACCGCTCATCAGACCGGAGGGCATATGACCGGCGATACTGTGGCAGCTACAGGCGCAATGACTATAGCAGGGATCGGGGCGAGGCTTGCTATGACGCAGACTACCGGCATTCCTATGAATATCACCGGGAGAACAGTAGTTACCGCAGCCAACGAAGTAGCCGCAGGAAGCACAGACGGCGGAGACGGCGCAGCCGAACGTTCAGCCGCTCCTCTTCGGTGAGTGCCAGCCCAGGCCCTTCCTCTCCCCACCCTTCTTCAGGCTCTCTAGGATCCTGGTAAGTGAGAATTATCCTTATTCTCATCTGAGCATTGGGGCATGAACATTGAGCTGGGCAATGAGTCTGTCTACTCTCTTGGAAGCTTTCCGACTCTGGGAGGGCCTGGAATCTGCTTTGGAGATAAATGGGCACAGCATTTGTGACCCCCAGTGCCCTCCCTGGCATGCTGGGCTTTAGATTGTGTTGGGAACACTCCTTTGCCCCAGAGGCCTCCACATTCTAGTGGGGGCCTTGCTTGTGAAATGTCTTTCTCCCCCAAGCCTTGGGCTCCATGGCCCCCGCAGCAGGTGGGCTTGGGTGGGGGCAAGGGGAGATCTGTGCCCACCTGGAAGGGCATTGTGTAGAGCATGGGATTGTGAGTGACAATGGCAACGACACCACTTCTCTGCTCTGCCCGTACCTTCCCTGTTCCCGTTGTGGGTTTGGGACTTGGGATTATGCGCCGCTCTCTCTTCTCACCCCAATCCGCCTTACTGCATCTGACGTGTTCCCTTCCACTGTCCCCCATCATCGTCTGTCCCCCCTGGCTGGGCGCCTGTGACCGGTGACCCTCCACCACCCACCCCGCCTCCCTCCGGCCCCCGCTCCGACACCTGGCTTGCTCCGACCCCCCCCGCCCCCCGACAGCAGCACAGCAGCCGGAGAGCCAAGAGTGTAGAGGACGACGCTGAGGGCCACCTCATCTACCACGTCGGGGACTGGCTACAAGAGCGATGTACAAGCCAAATCGTAACAATCCTATAGCCTGTAATGGTCCCATAGCCATCCTAACGTCCCAAGCCAACCTAAGTCACAGTCTCTTTTGCCTTTTCTCCGTGGTGTTGCTTATCTGGGTGGTTTGAGTTGCTGTTGAGAATTGACCTCTGCTGTCCACTCCCAGCTCTCATGGCCCCTGGGTTTAAAGGTGGTGGGAATCATGCAGGGGTTTTTTTCCCCTGTGACCATCTGTGTCTGTTCCCCCTTCCTTCATCTCACCCCAGGTTGCTGTACCCTTTTTCCTTCCAACTCCGCTCATTCCCCACCTTTTCTCCCTCCCTCTCCCCGACCCTGCTCTTTTTCATTTCAGATGAGATTGTAAGCACTTTGGGAGAAGGGACCTTCGGTCGAGTTGTACAGTGTGTTGACCATCGCAGGTAACTGTCAGCCCAGTCTCTACTCCATACATCCTAGGCATAAATAAGTAGGGAAGTGTAGGTGTCTGGGGTTCTTTAGTTGATTAGCCAAAGGCAGGATTTCTTAATCCTCAGCCCCATTCAATCTGAAATGTTCTTAAGAGAACCTAGCAAAAATCTTTCTTGCCAACCTGCAGGGGCGGGACTCGAGTTGCCCTGAAGATCATTAAGAACGTGGAAAAATACAAGGAAGCAGCTCGACTTGAAATCAACGTACTGGAGAAAATCAATGAGAAGGACCCTGACAACAAGAAGTAAGCAAGCAGCGGAGTATATGAGGGGTCTGAGAGGCTCCACCTCTACACAGAAAACCTTCCCGGACCTGGGTTAGGCAGGCACAGGGGTCCTGGACCTTCTCATCCATTCATCTTTTGTTCATCATCTTAGAGTAGTAGCACAATAGGGCAGGAAGGGTGTGTCTTCCTGTGACTTTCTATAATATAGTCCCCTTGTGTCAGGTGGGTAGATTGCTCTACAGTTTGCTCCAGCCTCTTTAAGGATATGCCTTGGAAGTGGCCCAGAGAATTTTTTCATCCAAAAATTGAGTTTTTAATACCTGGAACTATGTTGATGAGGGCACAGACATTTATATGTAATATTTGCATTCACACACGTCCATAAGTCAAATACAGAATCAGAGCTTTCAGCAGAGACATAAGAGGACAGTAGGTACAAATATGGCCCTGAAGGTGGCCGGTGAGATGTGAATTTCAGGAGTGGGAATCAGGTTGGGATTTAGGAGTGTGACTTTTTTTTTTTTTTTTTTTTTTTTAGATTGATTTATTTATGCATACAAGAACCGGGGTACAGGCCAGATGTGCAGGGGGGGTGGTGAGAGGATCCAGTAGAGACAGCGGAGAACAGAACAGGCAGGCGCTGAAATATACTGCTGAGGGGAGCAGCAGGCGAGACAGGAGAGGTCTGCCACGCCATGTGGGTATCTCCCCGGCTGGCCGGAATCGAACCCACGCTGCAGTGACTGTGGACAGCTTCATAGCGCTGCGCTCAACCACCTGCGCCACCAGGGAGGCCCAGGGGTGTGACATTTTGACAACTCAGGGTCCACACTAGAACCCGGCACTGAACAGCTTGTCAGCAAATAGTTTTTTTTTTTTTTTTTTTTTTAACTATTTAAAATGTTGCAGGAAAATGGTTTGAAGTTTGGCAGGTATGCCTCTCTTCTTGGGTCTGCCTTAGCTGAACTGAATTTTGTTGGTAATACTAGCTGGTGTGTTTCTACACAAGTATGTAAATTCAACAGCTTTGTAGTCCTCCCTTGTTGGAGGGGTGGTGGGCAGATGGGAGCTCATTGGACACCCCCTTCCCCCATCTCTCTTCCCAGCCTCTGTGTCCAGATGTTTGACTGGTTTGACTACCATGGCCACATGTGTATCTCCTTTGAGCTTCTGGGCCTTAGCACCTTCGATTTCCTCAAAGACAACAACTACCTGCCCTACCCCATCCACCAAGTGCGCCACATGGCCTTCCAGCTGTGCCAGGCCGTCAAGTGTGAGTGGGGCGGGCCGAGGTGGACTCTGGGGCAGCCCCTTCCTCCATTGGACCTCTTCTGTCTCAGTTGTGCACTGATGCAGGCCCTAAGCAGACACCTCAGCTACCTGCTTCTTTTTATTTACTGTCATGTTGACATCTACTTTACACCTTGAATGATGGCTGCACCATCACTGATTGCTTTTCACTCCAGTCCAACCTAGCAGAAGCTGGAAGAGAAAGCCTTTGAAATCGAAGCACTAAATTACCTTTTTTTCCTTCATTCCCCTTTCTTGGGGAAGTGTAAGTCAGGTGTAAGCAGCAAGCTCAAAGTGTAAGCAGCAAGCTCAAAGAGGCAGATTCCTCAAGCTAGAGGGTTACATTGGGCTGAGATGAGATGTTCTCTTCTCCCAGCAAGCAGGTAGGAACAGGGAATAGTCTGCAGCCAAGTTGCCAGGTGGGGAGTCTGGACTAGTACGCAGTTCCTCGAGTCTTCAGTTTCATAGTTCACAGAATGTACACATGTCAGAATCAGTACAGATATTTATATTTATATCCCTAGTAATCCATCTTTTACATCAGTTGAAAATTACATACGTGGCTTTAATTGAGTGTAGGACTTCTTAGACTAGGCATTTCATTTGGTTGTAGAGCAGAAAGCAGCCTAGTGATTGTGGACCAGCCTCCTCACCAGCTTTGAGCTAGGGGACCAAGACTGGGGATCAGCTGGTGTCAGTTAGCTCTGGCCGCCTGGACCAAGCCTAATCTGGCCTTATTCCCTGCAGTCCTCCATGACAACAAGCTGACACATACGGACCTCAAGCCTGAAAACATTCTGTTTGTAAATTCAGACTACGAACTGACCTACAACCTAGAGAAGGTAAGGTGGACAGGGTCTACCTTTGGCTAGTAGAACAGGCAGCTTTTTTGTCCCACATTTTCTTAGGTTGGGCTCCAACTAAGTAAAAGTGGCATACCAGAATAGATAGATGGGGAGACATAAGAAGACTTAAGTTGGAAGAGGACATGAAAAATGATCCCACATAACTTTAAAATAGTTAGGCTTTTAAGATTCTTGTTTTTGACTTCCTTCTCTTTTTTTCAGATCTCTTTCTGTAAGGGTAGCCAAGCTCCCTTGACTAACAAGAGAACAGAGATCTCAGCACTAAGGAAGCTGTCCCATCCCTTGACTACCAGTTAGATATTTGGTTGGGGGGGGGTTTAAAACTGTATACCAGTCACTTGAGAATAGTCTTTAAATAAAGTACTTTGTAGCAAGTGAGAGGGAAGGGAAGTCTGTAAAGCAGGATGATTCTCCAGCAAGTAAGCACAGGCAGGAGGTCAGAGTTGCTTTTTTTGAGCCTCAAAAGCTTTTTATTTTATTTTTATTATTTTTTTAAGATTGATTTATTTATGCATACAAGAGCTGGGGTACAGGCCAAAGATGCTGGGGGTGAGAGGATCCATCAGAGACAGAGTGGGGATCAGATCAGGCAGACTAACTGAAATACACTGCTGAGGGGAGCAGCGGGTGAGACAAGAGAGGTCTGCCTCGCCATGTTGGTTTCTCCCTGGCCGGACGGGGATCAAACTCATGCTGCAGAGGCTGTGGATTGCTTCACAGTGCAGTGCTTAACCTTTTGCGCCACCAGGGAGGCCCTCAAAAGCTTTTTAGATGGTTGTGGGGGCATCTCCATCTGAGAAGCAGAGATTCATTCTCCTCCGGCTTTGCTCCTAGAAGCGAGATGAGCGCAGTGTGAAGAGCACAGCTGTGCGTGTGGTAGACTTCGGCAGCGCCACCTTTGACCACGAGCACCATAGCACCATTGTGTCCACACGCCATTACCGAGCTCCAGAGGTCATCCTCGGTAAGGGGAGAGAACAGGGTTTTCCAACAACGTAACTGGATGTGGTGATGAGAGTGGCATCCCCTAAGCTTCATACTACCTTTCCCTTCCCGTCCCTACCCAGAGTTGGGATGGTCACAGCCTTGTGATGTGTGGAGCATAGGCTGCATCATCTTCGAGTACTATGTTGGCTTCACCCTCTTCCAAGTAAGTGGTGGGTTCTTATGTGGCCACCTGGCTTCCCCCCCAATTGTTTCATCTGCTGAGGACCTGCCTGCTCATTCCTCCACATTGCTTACTTTACTCATGTCCTCAGCAGCTCCTTCCCAGTTCCATACTCAGTACTGTCTTTATTTCCCAGACCCATGACAACAGAGAGCATCTAGCCATGATGGAAAGGATCCTGGGTCCTATCCCTTCCCGGATGATCCGAAAGACAAGGTGAACCTTACGTGGGAGGGCTTAACCCTTTTCCTTTTCTTTCCACAAAACTGGTCTATTTCATGTCATTTTCTTTTTTCTTTGACACCTCCCTTCCCCTCCCCCAGCTACTCTCAGATGGGGGAATAAGAGAATTATCCCACAACAAGAGGAACCTCTTGATTCCTCAACCTCCCCTTCCCCTCTAGGAAACAGAAATATTTTTACCGGGGTCACTTGGATTGGGATGAGAACACATCTGCTGGGCGCTACGTTCGAGAAAACTGCAAACCACTGCGGGTGAGCCCGACTGGGAATAAATAGTGCCCATCATCCAGAGGTCACTTCCTTCTTGAGGTGGTTTCCCCTGGAATGTACTTCATAAGAATAGGGTTAGGAACGAAAGGGAATGTAAACTGTAAAGAAGAAATCTTTGGTCAATAGAAGACAGATAAGAAGGAGTGGTTTTGTGGAGAGAAGGTTAGACAGCCATGTCTTTTTTTTTTTAATTACTTTAAGATTTTATTTATTTATACAAGAACTGGGGGTACGGGTCAGAGGTGTGGGAGGGTGAGAGAATTCACCAGAGACAGAGTGGGGTACAGAACAGGCAGATGGACTGAAGACACTGCTGAGGGGAGCAGCAGGCGAGGTAGGAGAGGTCTGCCACACCATGTGGGAATCTCCCTGGCCTGCTGGGAATTGAACCCATGCTGCAGAGGCTGCGGACAGCTTCACAGCACTGCGCTCAACCTGCTGCGCCAGCAGGGAGGCCCTAGACAGCCATGTCTTTTTTTTTTTTTTTTTAAAGATTTATTTATTTTATTTATACAAGCACTGGGTACAGTCAGAAGCGCGGGAGGGTGAGAGAATTCACCAGAGCCAGAGGGGAGAGCAGAGCAGGCAGACTGTCAAAGTACACTGCTGAGGGGAGCAGCGGGCGGCAGGAGAGGTCTGCATGCCATGTGGGGCCCTCATCCGGCGGCCGGGTATCGAACCTGTGCTGCAGAAGCTGCGGGCAGCCTCGCAGCCCAGCACTCAACCACTGCGCCACCGGGGAGGCCCAGCCATGTCTTTCTTGAGCCAACTAGAGATCAAAGTAATGTCCTGGATACTTTAGGTCAGACAGAAAAGAATAAACTACTTTGAAGAGCTTACATTTTAATGAACTAAAGAAGATTCATGAAGTTGACAAGGATATACAAGTAGAAAGACCTTGCGAAGAGTATAAAGGAGTAATTGTGCTAGCGGGAAGATAGATTGAGCTGTAATGTCAGAAGCGTTCATGGTTGGCTAGTGGTGAGGTAGCACTCATAATGGCTGCAAGCAGGGCCCTGAAGGAAGAGGCGGGGTTTGTCAGGCATCTGCCTCACCTTTTTTCCCCCGCCCTCCACCACCAGCGGTATCTGACCTCAGAGGCAGAGGACCACCACCAGCTCTTCGATCTGATTGAAAGCATGCTAGAGTATGAACCTGCTAAGCGGCTGACCTTGGGTGAAGCCCTTCAGCATCCTTTCTTCGCCCGCCTTCGGGCTGAGCCACCTAACGCCAAGTTGTGGGACTCCAGTCGGGATATCAGTCGGTGACGATCAGGCCCTGGACCCCCCTGCATCTCTTACAGCTGGGAGGGTCCAGTCCAGGACACTGGTGCTTTTTTATACAAGAGACAGAGCTGGAGCCCACTCCTGGCTCCCTATATACCTGTGAATATGTGAAATAGTGTAAATATGGAAGAACTTGTACCTATCGCTTCAGCCCCTGCCTGTACAGAATGCTACGCCATCCACTCTTCTCACCCTCACCTGCCCCTTTACCTGAAGCTGATGGGGGCAGAATGAGGTAACCAGGTGGCATCTATCCCCATGTTTTATAAGGAATTTTGTACAGTCTTTGTGAAATAAAATGACGTGCTTCATCTGATTTCCCCCCATCCCCCATCCTTGGAATTTGAGGTTTGGGGATGCTGGGGTGGAGGGATGAGAAAGAAAATTGGCAATTTCTGAGTTTGGGTAGGAAGGCGAGCGTCCCATCTTCCCCTCCAGAATTGACCAGAGCCAGGCCACCACTTTTATCTGCCCAGTTTGACTTAGCTGGGTGGGTTGGGGTAGGAGAAAGCTATAAAGTAAGCACTTCACAAATGGAATGATATGGGTTGGGAAAGCTGGGCCCCAGGATAGAACAAGGATCGCAGATGAAAAACCACCTGCTCAGCTAAGCTAGTAGGAGGCCACCTTCACCAGATAAAAGACTCCCATGGTACATCTTCGAGACCTGGGCGGATGGGGCGTCTGGCGCTAGGCGTCCTGGGCCTTGTAGTTCCTCGGCGGAGGGAAGTCACGTGACGGCGAGGCGGTAGTTGCCTGCGGGGAGTGGGTGAGCGGCGTCACGTGGGAGTATTTCCGTCTTTGCTTTTAGCCAAGACGCAGGCGCAACCCGTAGCTGCTGCGGGAATCTTTATGAGCCTTCCGGTGGGTACAACCAATCCGTGTACAGAGAAGCGGGGCGGACCGAGAAGAGCGGAGGGAGTTCTGAGAGCCTCTGCCGCCACTGCCGCGGCAGGGGCGTGGAGGCCACGGGGCGACCCAGTCCGCAGTTGCAAACATGGCTCAGAGCAGAGACAGCGGAAACCCCTTCGCCGAGGCCGGGGAACTTGATAATCCCTTTCAGGTGACTTGCGTCGGCCTCCTCTGGGTAGCTGGGTTGACTTCTGTCGGTTCTGGAGGGTCGGGCTAACTTATATGGGAATACGTAACATTTGATCCAGGTAAGGGCCGCCACGTGGGCGTGACTGTGATTACAGCCCTCTGAGCACCCTCGGGGGCGGGCCCTGCCCCTGTAAAGAACTTGTACCAGCAGTATAGGGTGAAGGATTTGGGCAAGTGGTGGGACAACAGCGTGCCCCCCACGGTGCATTCCTTGGAGGTAATAGGAGAACCCGATGTGAATACCTCCCAGAGGCATCAAGTGCCAGCTGAGCCCCACTCTTTACCCGCAGGACCCAGCAGTGATCCAGCACCGACCCAGCCCGCAGTATGCCACACTTGACGTCTACAACCCTTTTGAGGCCCGAGAGGTGAGCTGTAGTGTACAGGAGACTTGGAAGGGAAAGGAGTGCTCATAAGCCAGCACTGACCTGTCACTTACTAACCTTGAGTTCTTAAGCAGGAAATCCTCATTTTCCTTACTTATGAAGCAGGGGACTTTGCTACAGGCAAGGAAAGAACCGACACTGTGCTCTTAGCTCCCTGGAAGAAGCCAGTCTGCCCCGGCGTGCCTATTCCTTCCAGAGGCACCAGGGCCAACGAACCATCCAGTTTGAGCTCTGAATGTGGGCCTGGGAGCTCCTGGAGTCAAGACTCCACGTGGGAACACTTATTTGAAAAAAGTGAATGGGGGTGGGTCAAGTTGGGGAGAAAACAAACTATGCTTAGGTGTGCAATTAGAAGGCAGGGAATGAGAGCTGGATCTGTAGGCCCTGCTGAAAGAAGAAATGGTAAGAGTTTTACAAAAAGCATAGATACTGTAGATGAGTGCTCTGAGTCCTGGCCGAGGAGTTTGATGTGTGGGGTGATGAGGACTGCTGCATGTCATCATAGATTTTTCTGACATCAGTTCAACCCCAAAACTAGCTTTATGACTGGGAGAGGGGCTGCTGCCTTAGATAATGAGTTGTCTGTGTCTGAAAGTATTCAAGGAGATTCCTGTGTTTTGAGATACTAGATGTACCTTAAGATCTTTTCCAAACCAAACAGCCACCACCAGCCTATGAGACTCCTGCTCCTGCCCCTGCCCCGTTGCCTCCACCCTCGGCTCCCCCCCTGCAGTCCTCCAGAAAGCTCAGCCCCACAGAACCTAAGAACTATGGCTCCTACAGCACCCAGGTAAAGAGAATGAGGTTGGAAAGAGGGGCTAGCCCTGGGGCTGGAGACTCACCTCTCCCTCTGCTCATATTGGGCAGGCTTCGGCTGCAGCAGCCACAGCTGAATTGCTAAAGAAGCAGGAGGAACTCAACCGTAAAGCAGAGGAGTTGGACCGGAGGGAACGGGAGCTGCAGCATGCTGCCCTGGGGGGCACAGCTAGTAAGTTGATCCTGGGTCAGGCAGGGAAGTTTATCTGACAGTTTGGAAAGAGCGAAAAGAATCTAGGAGCGTGAGATCTGGACCCTTTACTAACTATGAGCTTGTAAGCAAGAACATCTCAGTTGCCTTACTTATAAAGCAACAATGATGTTTGTACTTGTTTAACAGGGTTGTAGTGAGTATTGAACAAGGTCATTTATACACATACTTGGCACAGTTCTTAGAAGTTGTAAATAGTAATAATACACATTCACTATTGACATTATTTCTGCCATTCTCACTCCCTTAGACCTTGAGTTGGAGACAGAAGAGAGCCTTGGAGATGGAAGGGAGAGGGACTGACTCCTTTGTTGGTCTTCACCTGACTTCTGGGGTCCTCTTGCTCTTTTTGTGCCTTACAGCTCGACAGAACAATTGGCCCCCTCTGCCTTCTTTTTGCCCAGTTCAGCCCTGCTTTTTCCAGGACATCTCCATGGAGATCCCCCAAGAATTTCAGAAGACAGTATCTACCATGTACTACCTCTGGATGTGTGAGTAGTGAAGAGCCTTTTTGGAAGAGCACAGGTAGCAGCTTGAACCTCCCTTTTGCCCCGGAGCCCACTCATCTCCAACTAAACACTTGACTCCCAGTGTTCAAGTTTAAGGCTAATTTCTGCAGGAATCTTCTTGGGTTACTCCCTTTATGACATCTAGGACTGACTCTCCGGCCTTTTAGTAAATATATACAGTTTTCCTCTTTCTCTTTCCCATGGCACTGGGCAAAAATGTGTTCTGAATCCTTTATGTGCGTTTGCAGAAGGGATCATGTGTGATTGAGATTGGTTTGTTCTGTCACCCTGTGGATTTGAGGATTCTGGGACGACTGAAGCAGTCTTCCTTTCTTTACTCTGCCTTGTTTGGTGAGGGTGTGGGCTGGATGTCTGTGGGAAGAAGCTTCCACTGCAGACCACAGCCCCCCATCATCCTGTTCCTCTGTCTCTTAGGCAGCACTCTGGTTCTTCTCCTGAACTTCCTGGCCTGCCTGGCCAGCTTCTGTGTGGATCCCAACAATGGCGCAGGCTTTGGGCTCTCTATCCTCTGGGCCCTCATTTTTACTCCCTGTTCCTTCGTCTGCTGGTACCGCCCCATGTATAAGGCTTTCCGGTAAGTGGAGCTGTTGGTGAGGGCCGGGGAGGGGCTTTGGGTGGAGTTCACATGGGCCTCTCCAGCTCTCATTCTTTTCTCTCCCTCCCCATTTATTTCTTGCAGGAGCGACAGTTCTTTCAATTTCTTTGTTTTCTTCTTCATTTTCTTCGCCCAGGATGTGCTTTATGTCCTCCAGGCCATTGGCATCCCAGGTTGGGGATTCAGGTCTGTGTGTCTGCCACCCACCCTCACACTTTCCTCCCACTTCTCTAGTCAAGTCAGCGCTGGGTACTGCAGTGAGCGTTCAGAAAAAGGAAGTGTGGTTTTTATCTTTGGGTGGTGCTAATTTAAGGGGAAAGACAGGACATACTTCAGGACAATAGAATGCACCCAGATAGAACTCTAGACAGGGGGCCTCCCTGGTGGCACAAGGGATTAAGCATCAGCACTACGAAGCTATCCGCAGCCACTGCCGTATGAGTTCAATCCCCAGCCAGGGAGCTGACCCACATGGCGCGGCAGACCTCTCCTGACTCGCCCACTGTTCCCCTCAGCAGCATATTTCAGTCAATCCACCTGTTCTGCTCCCCACTCTGTCTCTGGTGAATCCTCTCATCTTCCACACCTCTGGCCTGTACCCCAGCTCTGGTATGCATAAATAAATAAATCTTTAAAAAAAAAGAAAAAAAAGGAACTCTAGACAGGAACAGATTGAGGGAAAGAAGCCTGTATGAAGAGAGTGGATGTAGTTTGGGATTGTCATCTGTAGAAGGCTGATGGGAGGTGCAACCCATGATGGGAGGTTGAGAATAGGACGTGTTTGCAACATAACCAGAGGAGAGCTGGCAGGAAGAGCCCCATCCGTGAGCAGCCCCTCTTCACTACTACGTGCATTTCCCTCCTTGCAGTGGCTGGATCTCTGCTTTGGTGGTGCTGAAAGCAAACACGGCCGTAGCTGTGCTCATGCTGCTGGTTGCCCTGTTCTTCACTGGCATCGCTGTGCTGGGAATTGTGATGCTAAAGCGGGTGAGGGGCTCTATTGAAGGTGGGGCCAGTCGAGTGAGATCATGCGCCCCAGAGGCCTGGGTGGAACACTCTGAAGGAACTGGGGAGGGTAGGAAAATGGGCAGGCTTCTGCCTAATGGACCTAGGGCTGTATGTGTGTATGTTGGGAGTGAGCCAGTAGAACAGTAGGCTGGTGAGTTGTAATGGTGTTGGGTTGGAGTGGGTTATAGTGCTGGATGTGCCTTAATGTCCCCTTGCTCTGCTTGCAGATCCACTCCTTGTACCGCCGCACAGGAGCCAGCTTTCAGAAGGCCCAGCAAGAATTTGCTGCTGGTGTTTTCTCTAACCCTGCGGTGCGAACCGCTGCTGCCAATGCAGCTGCTGGGGCTGCTGAAAATGCCTTCCGGGCCCCCTGATCTCCACCTGGGATGCCCTGCCCTGCCACTTGAGGGAGATGACTTCGCCCCCATCCCCTGAAGTCTCTGGGACTGAGAGATCACTACTTGATATCTCCTCAATAGTGCTCCCAATCCCACGGCCATGACTGCTGATCCTGACTTAGGGGTGCTGGAAGCCCACTGTGACTCAGTCACTGCCTTCTCCTCACGTCCCAATCAGGCCACACTGCTGCCACCTCTTACACACCCAGCCCAACTTACCCTCTGCTGTGCCAAGGCTATTGCTTCGGTTATTTAAATAAAAAGAAAGTGGAACTGGAACTCAAATCGCTATTTCTGGATTTTTTTATTGGGAATTAGGCTTTGTGAAAGGGAAAGTAGAATGAGGAGGGCACAGGAGTGAAAGCCAAATGTGAACTCTCCTGGAAAGGTCAGACCTGGCTTTAGTGTAAACTGAGCACTGTTAGGGTGGGGCAGCAGCCAGAGGTTGGCGGCTGAGGGAGGGAAGTCCCTGGTTGGGCGTGGAAACCCCCGAGCAATCCAGGACCTCTGCTCCCCAACCCTCTCCATTAAGGACTGAAGAGCTGCTCCCTTTGCTGAGAATGCAGCGGACCCAGGAAGCTGAGAGGCTGGGTGCGGCTCCAGTGGACGCGGAATGCGTGGTTAGCAGATCGGGCCTGGTCCTGGGAGATGCAGCAGCTGGGGAGTGACTGGCCGCTGGTGCCTGCTCGCCTGGCCTGGCCGCCGCCACCTGCCCTCCCCCACCAGCCCCACTGGGTCTCTGGCCTGGACTACAGCTCCCGGAGTGCACCGCGCTGGGCCTCGCCGCCACGCCCCTCCTCCCGCCCCAGCCCATTCCCATCCCCCGCCTCCAGTCCCGGACCTGCTGCAGCCTGAGCTGGGGGAGCGGAGCTCGGTGGGGAGGGGAGCGGGGCAGGCGACCCAGGAGACAGCGGCGCCGAGGCCTCTCCCCTCCAGGCGGCCTCGGATCCCACTGGACACTCTGCGGGCACACCGACCGCGCCTCTCGAGTCACCCCACGCCGACCCCTCCCCTTCTCTAGACTGCTTTCCCATCCTTCTCGCTTTACCTTCCCCACCTTCCGCCGGGCTCCCGGCCGCCGCCCTCTCCTCCTTCCCGGACCAGCCCTTTTTGGCGCCCCTTTTCCGAAGGAGATGCGATGAGCTGGTGCCCCTGCGTCCTCATCGCCGCCCCGGGCACGGTGCCCGTCCAGTGCCCGTGGTGGGGAGGGAGCACTCCGCGGCCCCTCCGTGACGCCCCTCCCTTGGGCCACCCCTCAGCTGGCGTCCCAGGGCCATGCCCCAGGGGACCCAGCCAGGGGGTGGGCTCTAGAGAGAGCGGGGTGGAGAGAAGGAAGGACCGGGCCTTGGGCGCCTTTGAGATGCTCCCAAGCGCCAGAGGGGGCCGAGCCAGGCTCAGGCAACCGGGCGGCAGGCATGATGCCCTCGCCTAGTGATTCAAGCCGCTCGCTGACCAGCCGGCCCAGCACCCGGGGCCTTACCCACCTCCGCCTCCACCGATCCTGGCTGCAGGCCTTGCTCACACTGGGGCTGGCCCAGGTGCTCCTGGGCATCCTGGTAGTCACCTTCAGCATGGTGGCCTCCTCCGTCACCACCACCGAGACCATCAAGAGGTCCTGCCCATCTTGGGCTGGATTCTCGGTGAGTTGGGTGCACAGTCCTTGGGTGGGGGAGGCTCCTTGGCTCCACCCCTCCACATCAGCTGTAAGTCCAATTCCTGGCCTCTCCTTCCTCTCCTGGGCTTCTCCCTCCTTACAGGGTTGGGTGCACCCTGTGGTGAAGGGCTCACTCAGGTGCCTCCCCTGCTAGGCTGAGCCTGTGCTCACTCTGTCCCCAGCTGGCGTTCTCCGGGGTGGTTGGCATTGTGTCCTGGAAGCGGCCATTCACTCTAGTGGTAGGTGCCAGGGTCTAGTGCCCACTGGGAGGCAGGTGCTCAGCACCTGAGGGGATGCCCATTTACGCCCTGGAGAAGGGAAGTGGCTCTCTGGTTATTGCCAGCCAGGCACGAAGTGTCTGTGAAGAAGGGTGGCTCCATCCATGGTATAGGGGTACTTCTAAGGGTCCCAGCCCTGAGTCTGCTCCCTGTTTCCCCCAGATTTCCTTCTTCTCCTTGCTTTCGGTGCTCTGTGTCATGCTCAGCATGGCTGGCTCTGTTCTCTCCTGTAAGAATGCCCAGCTGGCCCGCGACTTTCGAGACTGCTCCATGGTGAGATTCAAGGAGGGAGAGCCGGAAAGAGCTGGTCTGGGGAGGTGTGCGGGACACCTGGGTTTGTCTTGACTCGGGCTACCTCACCCTCCCCTCCTGCCCAGGAAGGAAAGGTCTGTGTGTGCTGTCCCTCTGGTCCCCTACACAGACCCTGTCCAGAGTCAGGGCAGGAACTGAAAGTTTCCCCTAACTCCACCTGTGATGAAGCCCGCGGAGCCCTCAAGGTGAGCAGGCATCCCATCCCCACCATTGCATCCTTCTACATCATCCTCCTGGTTCTCCCCCTTGCCTCCCCTTCTGGGGTCCTCACAGGCTCTGTAGGTGAGGAATTTACTCCTCTTCAGCATATGCTCACACCCTCCTCCTTCTTTCCTTCCCCAGAACCTGCTGTTCAGCGTCTGTGGGCTCACCATTTGTGCCGCCATTGTCTGCACCCTCTCTGCTATTGTCTGCTGCATCCAAATCTTCTCCCTGGATCTGGTACACACGGTGAGTGGGGAGCTGGTGTCAAGACCGAGCATATGTGATGGGAGAAGGGTGTATGTGCTAGAACTTGGGACAGTGGCTACTGGCCAGGGGGTGCTGTGGGTCATCTATTAGCCATGTCTACTATAGGGATAGGTTAGAGGGACAAGGGAGGGCAGTGACAGGGAGCAGGTGAATGCCAGTCTGGGGCCTGGATAGGGAACGTTAGAGAATGGAACTAGAAGCTGGGTGGAGTCGAGACACAGTTCCTGTTGGGATAAAGGCTTGATGCGTTGGGACAGAGAGCAGGCGTGGTTCTGGGTACAGATTCTGGGCACAGGCAAGGGGCCTTAAAGAGGAATTTCTGTATGGGCAAGGCCAGAGCTGGAAGTTCTGGTTAGGTGCAAGGGCGGAGGAGGATCCAATTCTGACTGAGGGCCTCGCCAGAACTGAGCTGCTTGGAGGGGCTGGGGCCGGAACAGTGTAGATGAAAGAGGAGTTTGGGAGCCCAGTTCTATTCCCAGAAACCAGGCATGCTGACCTGCTTGCTCTCCAGCAGCTGGCCCCTGAGCGCTCAGTCTCAGGCCCCCTGGGACCTCTGGGTTGCACATCCTCGCCCCCAGCCCCTCTCCTACATACGATGCTGGACCTGGAGGAATTTGTACCGCCTGTGCCCCCACCACCCTATTATCCCCCAGAGTACACCTGCAGCTCAGAGACAGATGCACAGAGGTGAGGCCTGCTGAAGTCCTCTTGGGGCAAGAAGCAAGGGTATTGGGGCTGTGGCCTGTATTGGTGTGGTGGGAGGGGGGATCTTTGAGGAGGAAGAGTTCTTTTCCAGGCTTGACCCTCTCCCTCATCCTGCCAGCATCACCTACAATGGCTCCATGGACAGCCCAGTGCCCTTGTACCCAACTGACTGCCCCCCTTCTTATGAGGCCGTCATGGGGCTTCGAGGAGACAGCCAGGTGAGTGCCGGACTTGGTGCGGGCTGAGAAGCCAGGGGTAGAACTGAAAAGCTGAGTGAGCTATAGTCACTGGATAAAGATTAATAGTAGCTCCTGCAATCTTTATAGTACTGGCACACCCACTAGCATCTTTGATCTTCCCTAGAGCCTGGTGAGGGGGGTGGAGTAGGAACTATCATTTCTATTTTACAGATGTGAAAACTGAGGCCCACATAAGTGGCTTGTGCAATGACAAAGCTGGAATCTAGGTCTCCAGAGCTCTGTCCAGCACATGGGGGTGACCACGTCAGTGTATAGTGCTTGACCCGTGTCTCTTCTTCAGGCCACTCTGTTTGATCCTCAGCTGCACGAGGGCTCCTGTATCTGCGACCGGGTAGCGTCCATTGTAGATGGTGAGCAAAAAGTGGGTAGGGGCTGCCTGGGATAGGAGAGCAGAGTGCAGACTGCGGGCAAAGAAGGGGAGATGAGTCTAAGGTGGTGGCTTAGGAACTAGCACGGGCTAGTTCCTTCTTGGAGCCCTGGACTTATTTGTCTCGGAGATGAAGTGGGAGGCAGAGTGGTCTGGAGAGGCTGAGGCTGAGAAAGGAGGACCAATCTGGACCAGACCAGGCCAGTGCTACCCAGCGCCCCCTGCTGCCCACAGTGTCAATGGACAGCGGGTCTCTGGTGCTGTCAGCCATCGGTGACCTCCCTGGGGGTTCTAGCCCGTCAGAGGACTCCTGCCTGCTGGAGCTGCAGGGCTCAGTGCGCTCGGTGGACTACGTGCTCTTCCGCTCTATTCAGCGCAGCCGCGCTGGCTACTGCCTCAGCCTGGACTGCGGCCTGCGGGGCCCTTTTGAGGACAGTCCCCTGCCACGGCGGCCCCCACGGGCTGCACGCTCCTATTCCTGCTCTGCCCCCGAGGCCCCACCCCAACTGGGTGCCCCCACAGCTGCCCGTAGCTGCCACCGCCTGGAAGGCTGGCCTCCCTGGGCGGGACCCTGCTTCCCCGAGCTGAGGCGGCGGGTCCCCCGGGGAGGCAGCAGGCCAGCGCCAGCCCCTCCCACCAGAGCGCCCCCTCGCCGCTTCAGCGATAGCTCAGGTTCCCTCACCCCACCGGGGCACCGGCCTCCTCATCCGGCTCCCCCATCTCCGCTGCTGCTGCCACGGTCCCACAGTGACCCGGGCATCACCATCTCCAGTGACACTGGTGAGTACCCCAGGGTTCAAGAGAGGGCAGGCCCTGGAAGTTAGAGCCCTAATGATGCCCCGTGAGATTTGGGACATCGAGGTGGAAAAAGGCGAGTTCACTCCAGCAGCCCTCAGACTGCTCCCCTGCTAGAAATGCCACATCATTACCTTGGTGACTAAAAAAGGAGGACTTATTTTTTGAAACCCAGTCCCACAGCTCCTAGCTTGGGCAGTTTCCTGTCCTCTCCAAGCCTCAGTTTCTCCCTAGTAAAACAGGTGTTCTAAGAGTACACAATCACAGGCCTCCCCGGTGGCGCAGCGGTTGAGCGCTGGGTTGCGAAGCTGCCCGCAGCCTCTGCAGCACTGGTTCTATCCCCGGCTGCTCCCCGGCCACCGGAGGAGGGTCCCGCATGGCACGCAGACCTCTCCTGCCGCCCGCTGCTCCCCTCAGCAGTGTACCTCGGTCCCTCTGCCTGCTCTGCTCCCCGCTCTGGCTCTGGTGAATTCTCTCGCCCTCCCGCGCTTCTGAATGCACCCAGTGCTTGTATAAATTAAAAAAAAAAAAAATCTTTAAAAAAAAAAAAGAGTACACAATCACGAGCACTATTGAGTTGTTGAGAAATGAGATAATGCACGTTAGATGCTTAGCACCAGCACAGAAAATGCTCGTTATCAGCCATCAAGGAGCAGATGGTGAGGAGGATGCAGGAGTGAACCATGCTACCTTAGCCCCTGCCTTAGTGGTTTGCACCATCTAGGTGCTGGCAGATGTGAGCAGAGATGATGCCCCCTTGGTTGGGGATGGAGGGTGGGAGTTATGGAAGCTCCTCTGGGCCTGAGTTCTCACCTGAGGGTAGGCAGCTGTGTCCATGGGAGTTCCTGCTCAGTCCCTGTCTCTCTCTCTCCCCAGCTGACTTCAGGGACCTTTATACCAAAGTGCTTGAGGAAGAAGCTGCTTCTGTTTCCTCTGCAGATACAGGTCAGGCTCGTGCTTGATGCCCGGGGGGTGAGGATTGCTTCCTGGCCCTCTCTGCACCACCCATTCCTCTCTTTCCAGGGCTCTGTTCTGAAGCCTGCCTCTTCCGTCTAGCCCGCTGCCCTTCCCCCAAGTTGCTGCGTGCCCGCTCAGCCGAGAAACGTCGCCCTGTGCCCACCTTCCAGAAGGTCCCCCTGCCCTCGGGCCCTGCACCTGCCCACTCCTTGGGAGACCTGAAGAGCAGCTGGCCAGGCCGGGGTTTGGTCACTCGTTTCCTCCAGATGTCCAGGAAGTCCCCAGACCCCAGTGGGAATGGAGCCCATGGACATAAGCAGGTAGGAGTAGGAGTCAGGAAAGATACCTGGGCAAGATGGAGCCTCAGGTTGCACCACACTGATGTCATTTCCTGTGTCCCCCTCTAGGTGCCCCTGAGTCTGTGGGGCCGGCCCGGCCGGGAGAGTCTTCATCTTCGCAGCTGTGGTGATCTGAGTTCCGGCACCTCCCTGCGGCGCCTCCTCTCTAGCCGAAGGCTGGAGCGGGGAACCCGTCCCCACAGCCTCAGCCTCAATGGGGGCAGCCGGGAGACTGGGCTCTGACCTAGGCTTCCTGCCACACCAGACAGATTCAGGTGAATGCTGAGGCCATAGGCCACAGCTGGTTGGGACCAGCAGTCCCTGTGTCCTCTTGCACTGGCTAACACAAAAGGCACCCGCTGAACAACCTCAGATGTTTCCCTTTCCCTCCTACCTCTGGGGATTCCTGCTGCTTGCCTTTGTCCCTCTGGCCTAGGAGAGCCGCTGTGCTGTGCTGCATGGGTGTTCAGGTCGGGAGACATCTCTGCTTACAGATATGCAGGAGGAAAACAGGTAGAGCTCTGTCCCCCCAGCAGGAGAGCAACCCTCTGGTCAGCCAGGCGCACTATGGCCAGGGCAAAGTCCTGTCCTGGTGTTTCAGCATAGGGGGCTGTGTGCCTATGCAATGGGGTGGTGAGGCATGAAGACAGAAAAATCTGGTGACCTCTCTGCTCTGCCACCTCAAGCTGCATGACCCTGAGCAAGTTATTTAACCTCAATTGCCTGATCCGTAAAACATTGTGAGGATGAATGTTTATAAAGCTCTTAACACACACTAAGTAAGCCTTCAATAAATTTCAGTTTCCCCCTTCTCTTCCGGATCATTCTTTATCACCAATGAAATATTTTTTAGCATCTCTCACAGTTAAGAAAACTTCCAGCTAACACACTGTATCTCTGCCTTTCATGGGAAAACGTTTTCTCTCTTGCTTTCCTCTGTTTTCTGGATGTCCGTTCTCTTCTTACCCACTCCCATCAGGCTCCTTCCCCTGCCTCTCCCCAGACACTGCTCTTTACAAAGTTTTCAGTAACCAAAAAGATGTCAGACCTAGAGGCCCTTTCTCTACCTGCATCTTACCCTAAGAAGGGTTTAATCAAGGGAATCCATATCTTTCCTCTTGAATTTCACCTTTCTTTGAAGACACCATACTCTGCTATTTCCTTCCTGCTTTATTGCTTGGCATTCTTTACCAGCTTTCACACCGCTGCTGCAGGACTGCTTCACACTGGAACCCCCCAGGGCTCTCTCCTCCACACTGTCTTCTACCTATGCTCTGTTTGTAGGCAGCCTTACCAACATCCACAACTTTAAATATCACACGTGTTCATATATGACTCCCTGCTTGATCTCTCCATGAGCTCTAACCTCCAACCCAATGTCTCTAATGGGCCACTGCAGACTTCTTAATCTCCACCCTTACCACCTGTTCCTCTTCCACTACTTCCCACTCATCAAGTGGCACCACCATTCAGCAGTTGCACATTTCAAAAGCTTGAGAATCATCCTAGCTTTTTTTTTTTTTTTTAAAGATTTATTTATTTATTTATACAAGCACTGGGTACAGTCAGAAGCGTGGGAGGGTGAGAGATTTCACCAGAGCCAGAGCGGGGAACAGAACAAGGAAGTACACTGCTGAGGGGAGCAGCGGGCGGCAGGAGAGGTCTGTGCGCCATGTGGGACCCTCGCCCAGTGACTGGGGATCGAACCATCGCTGCAGAGGCTGCGGGCAGCTTCGCAACCAGTGCTCAACCCCTGCGCCACCGGGGAGGCCCATCATCCTAGCTTCTTTAGCCTCACCCAACGTGCTCAGTCCTACCCAAAAGTTACCTTTCTCACCAGCCACCTATTTCAAACCACCACCCTCTCTCCCAGCATCTGATTTGATCTATTTCCACTCTTCCTAAGGATCCATTCTTCATTAAGCAAAGTGATAATAATGTCACCTCAAGGGCCTGCCCAAATCTAATGACTTACATTGTAATTAGAATCATCTCCAAACTCCTTAGGAGACTACAGTCAAGTACAACCTGGTCTACTCTTCTCCAGCCAAGCTACCTCCTACAAGGGCCTTTGCACCTCTTTTTTTTTTATATATATATAGATTTTATTTATGCATACACAAAAACTGGGGTACAGGCCAGAGGTGTAGGGGATGAGAGTATTCACCAGAGACAGAGTAGGGAGTAGAACAGGAAGATCTACTGAAATACACTGCTGAGGGGAGCAGCGGGTGAGACAGGAGACGTCTGCCGCACCATGTGGGCTACCTCCCTAGTGGGGAGTCGAACTCATGCTGCAGTGGCTGCTGATAGCTTCATAGTGCTGCGCCTTTACCCCTTGCACAAGGGAGGCCTCACCTCTTTTTTTTTTTATTTATTTTTAACATTCTTTATGGATACAAGAATCAGAGTATAGGCCAGATGTCATGTGTGTGTGTGTGTATGTGTGTGTGAGAGAGAGGTGGGGGGGGCGGAGAGTATTCACCAGAGACAGAGTGGGTAGCAGAACAGGCAGATCCACTGAAATACACTGCTGAGGGGAGCAGCAGGCAAGACAGGAGAGGTCTGCTGCACCATGTGGGTCAGCTCCCTGGGCGGGAATGGTACTGGTGCTGCAGTGGCTGGCAATAGCTTGATAGCACTGACTTTAACCCCTGTGCCACCAGGGAGGCCTGTACCTCTCCTGAGCCAAGCATGGGTAGTCTGCCCTGTGGCTGTTGCCTTTGCCTAATACAGGTCTTAGCTCCACTCTCGTCCTCTCAGTGAGCACCGACACCCCCACCCTGCATCATTATATTACACCACCAAGCAGTTTGAGCTGTTACTGCTACCTAAATTTACTTGTTTATATGTTTGTCCTTGTAGTCCCTGCTGAGAGCTGGGACTTGGCACATTGCACTGCACCTAACACTTAGTAGGTCCTCAACGAACTGACCAAGTTACTAAAGTGGCAGAGTGGGGTCTTGCAAACAGTTTTGGGGTCCTATGGTTGTGGGGACAACATGGTGCCCTCCAGGGGAGTGAGGGGCCCAGCCCAGAGATGGCGTCTGGCTGCAAGGCTTCTTGAATAATTCACCATCATAACAACCCAACCTCAGGGAGGGTTGGGGAGAGGCCAGGACGACAAGATGAGGTGGGGGGTGAAGACTGGCGTTCCCAAAAGGGCAGTTTCTGGGCACTGAATGTTCCCCATCCCGAGGCTCCCAAAGGAGGAAGCTCGAGAATATTGCTCTGCTCCGGTGGGCTGGACTCTTAACGGGAATTCGATCTCTCCCCGCTTTTTTCCACTTCCGCACTCCCCGGACTAAGCGCCTGCTGGTTAACCTCCAGGCGCATGCGTGCTCCTCTCCTCCCGCCCTCCTCCCAATTCACCGCCGCTCGTCCCCGCACGCGCCAGCGCCGCCTCTGGGCGACGACTGGTCCGCGAGAGCAGTCGGTCACCAGGAAGACCAATAAGACGGGCGGAGGAGCACTGCGTCCCGCCCCCGGCCCCGCCCCGGCCCCGCCCCGCCCCGGGGGGGGGGCGGCGGGCGCACGCAGGGGCTGCGGCCTCCCTCCGGCGAGGGCTCCGGCGGGCCCCGCCTCCCCGGCGCGCGGGCTGCAGTGGGATTTCCCCTCGCCTCCGGTTGGGGCTGCTGTTTCGCTTCGCCCACGGTAGGCGTCATGGATGTGGCACTGTTTGGATCTTAACTCTTTCCCTCCCTTGCGTTTGCGCTTCACCTATCACTGTCAGTTATTTTTTATTGAAGGCTTGATCTTATAATACTAATGAAGAGGGGATAAAATCTTCCACTCATGGGCGTCCCCGGTGGCGCAGCGGTTGAGCGCTGGGTTGCGAGGCTGCCCGCTGCCTCTGCGGCGCCGGTTCGATTCCGGCTGTTCCTGGCCACCGGAGGAGGGTCCCACATGGCGCGCAGACCTCTCCTGCTGCCCGCTGCTCCCCTCAGCAGTGTCCTTCGGTCCTTCTGCCTGCTCTTCTCCCCGCTCGGGCCTTGGTGAATTCTCTCACCCTCCCGCGCTTCTGACTGTACCCAGTGCATGTACGAACAAACAAATAAATAAATAAATAAAACATGCCTCTATTAAAAAAAAAAAAAAAACCTTTAAAAAAAAAAAAAATCTTCCACTCCTCTTCACTCGCTTTCTTGAGGGGTGGAGCGGCAGAAGGGCCGTGTATTCATGCATCCTTCAGTCATAGGACGGACGTTCACCAAGCGCGCACCCAGCGCCAGAGGCTTGGCTTTGAACTGAGGAGCCAGGACCCAATGGTCCTGACCCTGCTGGACTTACGCACCGACAGATCAGCAGGCAGAATTAACAGGCCGCCGGGCGCTGTAACACATTAAGCCATTTGTACAAATAACTACAACAGTGAGAAGAGCTACACAGGCGATGTGAGGGCTATGAGCTTGTTACAGGAGGGTTATGTGTACACGGAGGGCTTGCTTTTCGTGGAGAAAGGGACCTTTGAACTGAGGTCTGCATGGCGAATAGGCATTAACTAGGCTAAATGGAAGTGAAGAGTAATGCAAACTGGAGGAAGACCCTGTGCAGGATTCGAGACAGAAAAGATGCAGATCATGATCATTGGCCAGACTGTGGCAGCAAGGATCCACTTGTCTCTGTGGCTGTTTTAAAGATTTATTTATTTATGCAACAAGAGCTGGGGTACAGGCCAGAGGTGTGGGGGGGGGTGAGAGGATTCAGAGACAGAGTGCGGAACAGAACAAGCAGACTGACTGAAATACACTGCTGAGGGGAACAGCAGCCAAAACAGGCAAGGTCTGCTGCGCCATGTTGGTAGCTCCCTGGACAGCCCGGGATGGAAATGGTGCTGCCGAAGCTGTGGATAGCTTCACAGTGCTGTGCTTAATCCCTTGTGCCACCAGGGAGTCCCTACATTCTGATTTCTACACAGCAATCTAAGTGGTCTTTTAAAAATCTAGCCTTGTCACATCCCTGCATCAAATCCTCCAGTGAATTTCCATTCCAGAACAAAATTCAGCCTCCTCCAAGGCCTTACAGAATCTGGTTTCAACCTTCCTCTCCAGACTTCTCACCACTATCTCCCTCATTCTCTACAGCACTTCCTTTCCCTTCACTTTATTCTTATTCACAGTTGTGACAGTTGTGCAATTGTTTTTTGTGTGTTTTGTTGTTTTTTTTTTTGTCTGCCTCCCTAATAGAACATAAGCTCCACAAAGCCAAGGACTTTATCATCTTAGGCAAACCACATCAAGGACAGTCTTCTGAAGCACTGGCAAGATGGGCTTTGGGTGGTGGGGTGTGGTCAGTAGTTTAACCCATTCATTTAGTCAGCAGACACTAGGCATTGATTCTGGGCTTGCCTCTGAGTAAGGAGCTTTGAGGTTTCAGGAAAATAGAAACCATGACATTTTCTCTGCAGCTGTTTATTTATTTATGCATACAAGAACGGGGTGTAGGCCAGAGGTGGCGGGGGTGGGGGGGTGGGGGGTGGTAAGAGGATTCACCAAAGACAGAGTGGGGAGTAAAACAGACAGATCTACTGAAATACATTGTTGAGGGGAGCAGCAGGGTGAGACGGGAGAGGTCTGCTGCGCCATGTGGGTCACTTCCTTGGCCAGGGAGTGAACTTGTGCTGCAGTGGCTGGTGATAGCTTGATAGCACTGAGACTTTTTTTTTTTAATTTTAACATTTATCATTTTTTTTATAATTTTTTAGACAATATTTGCTTTCCCCCACCCCCACAGATTGAGTCTCCTTAGAATTTCCTTCCCCAAGGCACCCGTGCACCATCACCACAGTCCCCTGTGCTCCTCCCTCCTTCCCTCCCTCTCACCCCTCTTCCTCCTCCTCCCCTACAGTATGTCTCTGGTTTATAATTGTCTGTTTTGGCTTTGTTGTGTTTTGTACTGTTATTATTATTTTTTTTACACTGATGTCTTATTTGGTTCCCCTATATTCCTGTTACAAGTGAAACCATTTGATATTTTTCTTTTTCCTTCTGGCTTATTTCACTGAGCATAATTCCTTCTAGCTCCATCCACATTGCTGCGAATGGCATGAGTTTATCTTTTTTGATTGCTGAATAATATTCCATTGTGTATATATGCCACATCTTCTTGATCCAGTCATCTATTTTTGGGTTGTTTCCAGGTTTTACCTGTTGTAAATAGTGCTGCAATAAATATAGGTGTGCAGGTGTACAGATTTTGAATCACTGTTTTTGTGTCCTTTGGGTAGATCCCTAGGAGTGGAATTGCCAGATCGTATGGTAGCTCCATTTTTAGTAGATTGAGGAACCTCCAGACAGCTTTCCACAGTGGTTGTGTTATAGGGCAGGGAGAGGGGCAGCCCAAGCCCCGCAAACCTGCCTATTCTAAATGGGTTCTGCCATCCGCCGCATCAACACAAAACATATGAGACTTTAATGGGAAGGAACTTTAATTAGAAAACAATACAGGTAAGGCAAAGAATCTAGTTTCTAAATGAAGCACCCAAAGTTACCCATCCCCTCGTGGGTAAAAGTCCATCCAAATGGGACTGGCCCAGAGCAAGGCCCCAAAGCCTGCCACAAGTCTAAAGCATCTTCCAGTGGGGACCCACAGAAAAGGGCCAGAAACAACCAGACAAGCCCGGAAGGAAAAGAGCAAAATCAAAATCAAGACAAAAGCTGCCATTGTCACCTCCCCACAGGTCTCACCCACATCTGTGTCATCCAGTCCACGACCAAAAGACAAGCACAGTTTCTTTTTTTTTTTTTTCTTTTTTTTTATAGAGGCATGTTTTTATTTATTTATTTGTTTGTTCGTTTGTTTTGTTTGTACATGCACTGGGTACAGTCAGAAGCACGGGAGGGTGAGAGAATTCACCAGAGCCAGAGCGGGGAGAAGAACAGGCAGAGGGACTGAGGTACACTGCTGAGGGGAGCAGCGGGCGGCAGGAGAGGTCTGCACGCCATGTGGGACCCTCCTCCGGTGGCCGGGGAGCAGCCGGGAATCGAACCGGCGCCGCAGAGGCAGCGGGCAGCCTCGCAACCCAGCGCTCAACCGCTGCGCCACCGGGGAGGCCCCCAAGCACAGTTTCTTTACGTGTCTCTAGGCTCCATGCGCCTCCTCCAGGTCTCCTGGCTCCATCCTGCTCCTTCCTCACTCAGTCTCTTCTGCAGCTTCTCCTCTTCCTGCTCAGCTCCACCCTCCCTTGGGTGGGGCAGGGAACCTCACCCTTTCCTGGGGACCACCCTGTTACAGTTGGACCAGTTTGCACTCCCACCAGCAATGTAGGAGAGTTCCTTTTTCACCACATCCTTGCCAACATTTGTTGTTGCTTGTTTTTTTGATAAGTGCCATTCTTACTGGTGTAAGGTGGTCTCCCAGTGTGGTTTTCATTTGCATTTCCCTGATGATAAGGAATGTTGAACATTTTTTTCATATGCCTGTTGGCCATTTGCATTTCCTCTTTGGAGAAATGTCTTTTGAATTCTTCTGCCCATTTCTTGACTGGATTGTTTATTTTGTTTTTGTTGAGTCCTGTGAGTTCTTTGTATATCTTTGTGATCAGTCCCTTTTCAGTTGAATGGTGGAGTGCAAAGATTTTTTCCCAATCAGATAGCACTGAGACTTTAACCCCTGTGCCACCAGGGAGGCCCATACTTGTTCCTTTTTTTTTTTTTTTAAGATTTATTTATTTGTTTGTTTGTTTAAAGATTTTATTTATTTATTAAAAAGATTTTATTTATGTATTTATTTATTTATTTATACAAGCACTGGGTACAGTCAGAAGCATGGGAGGTGAGAGAATTCACCAGAGCCAGAGCGGGGAGCAGGACAGGCAGAAGGGCAGAAGTACACTGCTGAGGGGAGCAGCGGGCTGCAGGAGAGGTCTGCGCGCCATGCGGGACCCTCCCCTGGTGGTCAGGGAGCAGCCGGGAATCGAACCAGTGCTGCAGCGAACCAGTGCTGCAGAGGCTGCGGGCAGCTTCGCAACCCAGAGCTCAACCGCTGTGCCACCGGGGAGGCCCAAGATTTATTTATTTATACAAAACTGGGGTACAGGTCAGAGGTGCAGGATGGTGAGAGACTTCACCAGAGAGAGCGGGGAGCAGAACAGGCAGATGGACCGAAGACACTGCTGAGGGGAGCAGTGGGCGAGACGGGAGAGGTCTGCCACGCCATGTGGGTTTCTCCCTAGCCGGCCAGGAATCGAACCTGCGCTGCAGAGGCTGTGGACAGCTTCACAGCGCAGTGCTCAACCCACTGTGCCACCGGGGAGGCCCCATATTTGTTCCTTTTAAAGGGGATGCTGGACCTCCCTGGTGGCACAAGGGGTTGAGACACAGCACTATGAAGCAATCCTCAGTCACTGCAATACACATTCGATCCCTGGCCAGGGAGCTGACCCACATGGCGCAGCAGGCCTCTCCTGTCTCACCCACTGCTCCCCTCAGCAGTGTATTTCAGTCAGTCTGTCTGTTCTGCTCCCCACTCTGTCTCTGGTGAATCCTCTCACCGCCCTGCATCTCTGACCTGCACCCCAGCTCTTGTATGCATAAGTAGATAAATCTTTTTTTTTTTAAAGATTTATTTATTTACGCATACAAGAAATGGAGTACAGGCCAGAGGCATGTGGCTGGCGATAGCTTGATCTTGCTGAGACTTAACCCCTGCGCCAC